TGTGTGTGTGTGTGTGTGTGTGTGTGTGTGTGTGTGTGTGTGTGTGTTTCTGACACAGGGTCTCCTGAAATCTAGACTGGCCTCAGCCTCCCTATATAGCTAAGGACAGCCTTGAATTTCTGAGCTTCCTGCCTCCACTTCCCAAATACTTGCGTTTGCTGGCGTGAGCCACCATACTAGATTTCTGCAGTGCTAGGCGTGGAGCCTGGAGCTTTGTGCATGGTAGGTGAGCGCCCTACCAACGGAGCAAAATCCTCGGCCTAGACCTCCCTGTGGACTCCAGGCTGGCCTTGAGCTTGATAGGAATGTATGCCACACCCTGCCCAATTCCTACTTTTTATAATACGTGTCCCTTTTTTTCCTTTTGGTTTTTTGGTTTTTCGAGAGAGGGTTTCTCTGTGTCGCCTTGGCTGTCCTCGAACTCATTCTGCAGACCAGGCTGGCCTCAAACTCAGAGATCCGCCTGCCTCTGCCACCCGAGTGCTAGGATGGAAGGCGTGTGCCACCACCGCCCAGCTTATGATAAATGTTCTTATTCATAGCAAGAGAATACTTTTTGATTTACAAACTGCAAAGACAGTCCATGCCTCCTTCCTCCAGCTGCCCGTCGTGAAGGTCGTTCTCCAAGTGGTACATGCAGGTTGATGCTGCTCAGGACTGGGCACAGCCACCTCTTGGAACTCACCAGTCTACACAGTGCTTTTCTTTGTGATGTGCCCTAGAATCCAAGCCAAGGTGCCAAGTTGCGTTCAGTGTGCCAGTGTACAATCCAGGCCCACTTCCGAGTGACCTCGCTCTACCCCTTGAACAGCCTCTCTCTGCTGCCAGTCCCTGCTGGTATGTGTCAGAGGGTGAATCCCCAGGACTGCTCTTCTCTTAGTCCCCTGCAGTGTGTTCAGTCATTAGCATGAGGGCCAGCTCCAGCACCCAGACAAGGAAGGGACTGGGCTCCAGGTCGACCTCCAACTGTGTCCTTGAGCACAGAAGGCTTCCTTCCTCGCTCTCTTGAAATCCTGGACTATTCTGAATTCACTGGCCGTAAAGTATGCCACTCCCTTCCCCCATGCTCGAGCTGCTCAGCTGACCAGTGACTACCCGGGAGTGGGTGACAGACGCACCGTGCTTCCTCCTGGTCCACTGTTGCCCGCTCTCTGGGATCATCCCCTCCTGGTGGAGTGGGGGAAGGAGGAAGTCACAACCCCCGAGAGTGTTCCTAGAACCCCTGTAAGCAAAGATGGGCACAACGTGCTCTCTCTGTTTCATAGATAAAGTCGTTGGGGCTTCATTTTAAATGACTTACCATTAATTATTTTAACTTTGTTTTGTTTGGGGATTTTTGAGACACTGTCTCATGTAGCCAGGCTTCAAACTCACTTTGTAGGTGAGGCTGACCTTGAACTTCTGACCCTCCTGCTTCCACCTCCCCAGTTCTGGGGTTACGGAGGTGTGCCAGCACACCTGATCTATGTGGTGCTGTGGATGGAGCCCAGAGCTTCCGACCTGCTAGGCTCTACCACCTGAACCTCAGCTCCAGCCCCTGCAGTCATCTTAATATGGGACCTGCCTCACTTAGGGGCTTGCAGTACTATCCCTCAGCCAGAGGCCATTTAAAGATAAATTTTTATCACAATTTGAAAATCAATGCACATTTCTCTTTTCTTTGGAAATGTGTTCCTGCAGTCTTTCTCAGCCTGTGGACCTCCCAGCAGCAACAGGGCAGGACAGACTCATCTTTGAACAAACAACTTGATCTCTGTCCCTGCACTTCTCCGATGTGAGGAGCAAACATTGGTTCAGCATCAACTCACACTGTTGGTTTCCTCGCAGAGAGAATGAGTTCTCTGGACCCGTATCTATGAAAATGGGAGACAGGGGATGGTTGACATAAAGATGCTTGTGATGTTCTGACTTCTTTTCTCTGTTATTCGGCAGCTTCACCAGCATGCCTCCTTGTGTATGTGTGTACACACACGCATGCATGCACTTGCATGTTTGTGAGTGTGCAGGGGGTACGTGCATCACAGCATGTGTGTAGAGGTCAGAGGGCAATTTCAGGTGTCAGTTCCTGTCTTCCACCAAGAACAAGAACAGACAGTCTCTTGTTTCCCACTGTGCTCTCCAGGCAGCTGGACTGAGCTTCTAAGAATTCTCGCATCTCTGCCTCCCATCCTGACATAGGGACACTGGGATTATAGACACTCACTACCACATCCAACTTTACATGCGTTCTGGGGATCTGAACTCGGGTCCTCACATTTGCATGGTGCTTTACCCACCAAGCCAACTCTCTAGCCCCTGCTATGGCCATAGAGTGCCCCTCCCCACCTTTTAAAATTTAAGGTACAATATTGAATTCCAGGCTAGCCTGTACTATGTGAGATTATATCTCCCTGAAAAAAAAATTTAAAAAACCACTAAAATAACACCAATGAGCCCACAGTGCCACTTAGAGCCTATTTGACCCCCTCGACTACATAAAGGCACCGTGTGGAGCAGGACCTGGGTCGGACCCCGAGAACTGATGTATCTGTCTGCTGTTCTTTTGCAGAGTACTTTCATCAACAGACCTGCCTTGGGCATCCTGCCTCCAGAGAATTTTGTTGACAAGCTCCGGGAGTCCTTGATGTCGGTGAGTTTGGGGGATAAACCCTTCCCACGTTTGTAGTCTACCTTCCAGCCTGTCTGTCCTCAGAAGTGGGAAAGATGAGATCCATAGCCAGGGAGGATGGGTGGGCAGAGGGCAGCTGCTGCAGTAGCTGTCTGGTCCATGATTCCCTGTCTCAAAGTTAAGAGAAAAAGGAAGGAAAGAAAGGGAGGAAGGGAGGGAGGGAGGGAGGGAGGGAGGGAGGGAGGAAGGAAGGAAGGGAGGAAGGGAGGGAAGGAAGGAAGAAGAAATGCATTGGTAGGAGGCGATAAGAGACAGCTTTGCTGAAATGACCGACTTTTTACCTGACTCTCTCATAAATAATTTTGTATGTGTGTGTAAACAGGGCTCATATAGCCCAGAATGGTCTCAAATGCATGATCTATGTAGCCCAGGCTAGCTTCAAACTCACTATGGGGATAGCCTTAAACTTTTGGTCGTCCTGGACCTACTTATCACAGGAGAGGGCCACCATACTCATTTTATGCAGGGCTTGGAATCTGAACCCAGGGCTTTGTGCATGCTGGACAAGCGCTCTCTCACCAGCGGAGCCACATCTCCAGCCATAAGAAGGTTTTTAACTTTTCTTTTGAAGGAAAGAAGGCGTTTTGTGTGGGGGACAATGTGTGGGATAATGTGCGCATGTCCTGTGGTGAGAATTTGGTGTGAGGGATTTGGTCATCCTTGATCACCTTTCCAGTTCTTCTGGCCAAGGTATTAAAGTCACTGAGAACCTCGGCGTAGCCTCTTCGAAGTACGGGTGCCTCAGGAGACACAGACAGAACTGATAGTTACACACATGCCCCTTACTTTTACACTTGAGACAGTGTCTCTGTGTAGTCCCAGCCAGTGCTGAGATTGACGGGTGTACACAACCACACTGGACTGGGCTCCACTGACGTTTCTCGTACTTTCTTTCCTCCCTGCTGACCTCAAAGATCTCCCTGGGCTTATTCTCCACCCCCGAAAAGATTGAGCCCACCCTTCTAACCTGCTGTTTCTGATGCATCCGTGGTGTTCCCTCCCTTCCTCCCTCAACCTCCCACCAATGCTGAAAGATTCAGCTCCGGGAATAGAAATGGGGTCCAAATTACTCACAGAGGGCTCCCTCTGCAGGTGGCACCCAAAGGCCTGTCCCAGCTCATCACCATGGCCTGTGGCTCCTGCTCTAATGAGAACGCATTCAAGACCATCTTCATGTGGTACCGGGTAAGCTTTGGGGCAGAAGCAGTCCCCCTCTGACTCCTCCCAACCACAGTGTTCGACTTGGATATAATCTAGAGCAGTGGGTTCTCGACCTTCCTGGTGGTGCTACCCTTTCATACAGCTCCTCGTGGTGTGGTGACCCCAACCATAAAAATACTTTTGTTGCTACTCCATAGCTGTAATTTTGCTACTGCTATGAATCATAATGCAAATATCTATGTTTTCTGATTATTTTAGAGGACTCCTGTGAATAACTGCTGATCTAGAGAGCTTCGTTGGGGCTTTCCCAACACCCCAGTGCAATGTCGCACAAAAAGTTTAGATTCTGCTGTCAATGTAGTTATGTTAATGGATTTATTAGGGCCGAGCCTCACAAAGCATGCTTAGCCACCTGTTCTCAAGAAGCTAATTAAAGAGACAAATTAATAGTTAAAAAGCAAAACCTGGAGATTTAAGACAGGCTGTGGTAACACACGCCTTTAATCCCAGCACTTGGGAAGTAGAGACAGGTGGATCTCTGTGAGTTCAAGGCCAGCCTGGTCTGCAGAGGGAGTTTCCAGGACAGGCTTCAAAGCTCTACACACGCACACACACACACACACACACGCACGCACGCACACACACACACACACACACACACACACATACACACACACAAAGGTGGGGGGGGATTTGAAGAGGGACAAATAAAAGAGGTCTGATCACGCCCCAAGTCTGTCTTCTAGGTCCAGACATGAGACTCGGGTTTAAGTAAAAGATCTCTATGACTAAGCAAACTAAGCAGTCCTGGACAGGCATAATCCCACCCACCACTGTTAGCGCTAATCTCTTCTGTATGGTTCTATGCTGTAAAGTTCTGATAATTCGTAAATGTTTCCTTCCCAAGGAGACAATTCCCCCCTCTAATTGCCCCTTGGGCTTTAGCACTTTTTACCCATAACATGAGACCCCAGGGGAAATTTCAATTTCTTTGAAGTTCATTGTTTTAGTAGCCAGACAACCAAATATATTCCTGCCAGGAGGGTTACAGTCACAATTTTTCCTGACGTAAACTGTCCCATTTCAACGACCCCTGGTTGCTGCTGATAAAATAGTAATAGATCATATAGCAATGCTTGCATTTATTTCATTGCAAGTTCAATTAGTGTCATGAGTCTATCTAGACATGTCATGATAGATATTAAGTCAACACTTAGGAACACACTCAAGTTGTCTGGATTAAGCATCACCTTGGTGGGGGTAGGAACACCCCTTTGGCCCAGCATGTCTCTGTTCTAATCTGTTCTCTTTTGGAAGAGTAAGGAACGAGGCCAGAGAGGTTTCTCAAAGGAGGAGCTGGAGACCTGCATGGTTAACCAGGTAAGTGCAGAGCCGGAGAGGGGCTCAGTAAACCTGCTTACTTCCAAGCCTGACAACCTGTGTTCAGTACTGGAACCCCACACCACCACACATGCATGCCATGTAATTATCTTGTAGGAGTAGCTGGGCCTACTTACTCGCTCATTTGGGGACCTACCCCAGCCACTAGGTGAATGTCCCCCATCCTTCTGACTTAGGAGACCCCATGCTTTGCCACCCGGGGTTTATTTCTTAGTCCAAGGCTGAGTAGTGCTCTTCCTAATTGGCCAATAGTTTCCCAGAACAACCTCTTGAATTTGACTGTCTACAGAAACCATGAATATGTTCAAGTATAGAAAGCATGAATATGCTCGAGTATAGTGATTTCTCTTACCGTTTATTATAAAAATAAAACTTGGGGATACATAGTAAGGATAAAAACCTGAGGTAAGGGCTGGAGAGATGGCTCAGAGGTTAAGAGCACTGCCTGCTCTTCCAAAGGTCCTGAGTTCAATTCCCAGCAACCACATGGTGACTCACAGTCATCTGTAATGGGGTCTGGTGCCCTCTTCTGGCCTGCAGGCATACACACAGACAGAATATTGTATATTAAATAAATAAATAAATATTTTTTAAAAAAAAACCTGAGATAACCGCAACCACGGCACTGCCATGGTCCTCTTCCTGACTCAAAAGTGCCCCACACACTGATAGTGACCCTGGGATTTGTCCCTACTGCATGTACTGGCTTCTTTGGATCCTAGTCTCTGTGGATGTATACCTTGCTCAATCTAGATGTAATAGGGAGGGCCTTGGACTTTCCACAGGGCAGGATGCATTGCCCTCTCTTAGGATTGGAGGGGTTGGGGTGGGAGGGTCTGTGGCAGTAGTGGGAGGGGAGTGGGAGGAGGGAGTTGGAAATTTGGATTGGTATTTTTTTAAGTAATTAAAAACAAAGTGCCCCAAAACCTCCTGGCCCCGCCTCTTCCTCTTCCAAGGGCCTTTCTTTCCCTTCTCCAGAGTTGGCCAGGGAACTCCGTGATCTATTGCAGTTCAATTCCCAACTGAATGTGCACCCCGCCTCTCCAGCCAACTCCCTACTCCTTTGGGCATCGGACTACAGCACAGACAAAATTCTCGTAACACTCAGCTCTAGGACAATCCAAACCATCAGCACGAATGCCTGCACTAAATGTTCACTCTACTGGTGTTTATAGCAATTACAACAAAAAAAGGATGGACATTACCTAGTCTGTCCAAGCATGCAGAAAAATCAGTTAAATGTTGGACTTCCCATTCAGAAAGCATGCTAGAGATGGGGTTCATTCTCACTTGCAATCTGAGAACAGCTTGGTCTAACAACATTTTCAGACCTCATTCCTCACTTTTAGTAGCTACATCGAAGTGTACCTAATGATGTGTATCTGTTGCCATTTTGTTCTGTTGTGTTTTGTAGCACAGCTCCATAAGACCCAGGCTGACCTGAAGCCTGTAGCCCTCAAATGTGCAGAGATTCCACTGTATCTGTCTTCTGAGTACTGTAGGATATAACCCTATGCTACCAACCTAGCTTGGTCATCTGTTACCTTTACAATCGGGAGATATACAGGAAATAGTGATGAGAGTATTCTGGGATGTGTGGAAGGAGGTCATGGAGCTTTTCTCAGGGAGAATGCTGCAGGAACCTCTCACTTCCCAGAACCCAGGGCTAAGGCATCTGGGGTGGCAGCAACAGTTCTATCCAAGAGAGCCAGAGCCTGTTAGGAGTCTCTCGCTGGATAGAGGGTAAAGTACACAGCTCTGGGGTTGGAGCCATGGCTCAGAGATCAAGGCCCTCACATGGAACCCAGGTTCAACTCCCAGCCCCTGCATGGCAGCTCACAACCATTGCTACAGTCCCAGGGAATTCGATGCCTTCTTCTGACCTCCTTGACCCCAATCATCCATGTAGTGCACAGACACAGACACAAAATACCTATACACATTAAATAAATAAATCAATATTTTTAAGATAAGTGAATAGGAACCACCTCCTCATCTGATTGGAGCTGGGAAGAGGCTAAAACTTACGCAGTGAGTTCTTGACTCTCTGGAATCCAAGCGGCAGCTGCCTGCCATGAGGAGAGAGAAAGATAGGATTCCTCGGGGCTGGAGAGATGGCTCAGCGGTTAAGAGCATTGCCTGCTCTTCCAAAGGTCCTGAGTTCAATCCCCGGCAACCACATGGTGGCTCACAACCATCTGTAATGAGATCTGGCGCCCTCTTCTGGCCTGCAGGCATACACACAGACAGAATATTGTATACATAATAAATAAAATATTAAAAAAAAAAAAGATAGGATTCCTCTTCCCACTGGTGGCCCTGGCCAACCTCTCCAGACACCTTGTCATTTCTGGTGCTGGTGCATTTTCAGTGAGAGCCACAGCTCAATTCCCGGCTCAGGTCAGCCTCAGGGCATAAGACTGTGGCAGTCAAGGCACCCTGGAGCATGCGCAGACTAGAGGAGCAGAGAAACAAGAGCCGGTCCCTCTGCTGGCAGCATCCCGTCAGTGGAGGGGCTGTGGAGCACTCAGCCACTGGCTGCCACCAAGTAGAAAATGTCATCTGGAGCAGACCAGAAGAAGCCCAGACAACGATGTGAAACTTCTTTGTTTTAAATTTGTAACTTTTAAGTCTGCTGAAGAAGAGTGCAAACGAAAGAGAGCTCTTGCAGGCTGGGTATGACTGCTAACATCTAGTTTACATTCCTGCTACACACACACACACACACACACACACACACACACACACACACACACCCGGGAAAGGACCATAGCTCTGATGGGCACCTACCTTTGTCTGCATCTACTGAGTAGCAGACAGTCCCCGGTGCTCACAGTGGTGACTTGTGCCTGCGTTTTTTTCATTCTAGAGTCCTGGATGCCCTGACTACAGCATCCTCTCCTTCATGGGCGCCTTCCACGGGAGGACTATGGGTAAGGAGGACCAAGTACGGCCCCAGACTTTGTACTGCCTGTCACCATAGATGCTAACGAGCAGAGACAGGCTGAATCCTTAAGCTGCCTTGAATCTAGGAAACCATCAGTCTGAGAAGACAGAGGGTTAAAAGTTGTGTGTGTGTGTGTGTGTGTGTGTGTGTGTGTTCGCACCTTCCCCCTCCTATCTCCAGCCAGCATGTTTTACAGGGAGTAAGAACAAAGGCATCGATCGTTCTGAAGTTCAGTGTTGTCCTCTGATCAGGGGTCAGCCTCCTCTCCCCATATCACCTCCTAAACTTTTTCCTCATGATTATCTGTCCCTGTGTAGCAGCGTTCATATTCCTCAAGTCTGTGGAGCCTCACAGGCTTTCCTAAGCAGCACCTAGGCCAAAGGTTAACTCAGAACAAGCAAGCTGTTAGCAGTGTACACAATGGGCTATTGCAGTGTGACCATGCAGGGCAGCTGGATGGCTCTGTGGGTGAAGGTGCAAACTTGCTGGCCTGCATTTGGTCCCCAGAACCTACATGGTGGATGGCACTCCCATTGGCTGTCACCCTCCTCTCACAGGCACACGCTGGCACACGCGCCCACCCGATAAATAAATAGATGTAATATTTTAATTTTGAAAGCACAGAGGGCTGGAAAGATGGCTCAGTGGTTAAGAGCACTTGTTGCTCTTGCAGAGGACCTGAGTTCAGTTCCCAACGACCACGTGACAGTTCATAATCTTCTGTGACTCCAGGTCCAGAGGATCTGATGACCTCCTCCAGCACACAGTCCACAAACACACATACATGTCTGCAAAACACTCATACATGTAGAATAAAATATTTTCATATAGTTTTGAAAAAACACTGTGTACCTGTAGATTCCTTTCTACAATATAAAATGCAAATATACTCTTATAATATAGTATACAAAGGGGTAGAAAGACATCTCAGAGGTTGTGAGTGCCGGCTTCTCTTCAGAGGACCTGAGTTTTGATTCCCAACATCCATATCAGGTGACTCACAGTCATATGTAAGTTCAGCTCTAGGAGGTACCACGCCCTTCTCTGGCCTCCTCAGACATTACACTCACATGACATACATCCACACAAACCATATGTACACATTAAAATAATAACAAACAACATAGAATATTAAAACATCCCATCCATCCCTCCTGTAACAAACCAATTCCATTCAATTCCCGGCAGAGAGGGGATAATTGTGCCCATTTGCAAACGTGGACGTGGGTCAGCAAAGAGAGGAATTTCCCAAGGCCATTTAATGACAGCCAGGATGTTGAACTGCCATCTCTCCTCTGCAGCAGCTGGGTTTAACCTGTGACGAATCATAAAGCAAACGCACACACACCCTCCCCAAGGCTATACATGCATGGGGCTGAAGCGCTCATCGCGTCTTCTTTAAAGACACTATGCTACCGCCCCGAGCCAACCATTTGCTCTTCTGTTTTGCTGGGCTCAGGATGCTTAGCGACCACACACTCAAAAGCAATTCACAAGATCGACATCCCTTCCTTTGACTGGCCCATTGCTCCATTCCCACGGCTGAAATACCCGCTGGAGGAGTTCGTGAAGGACAACCAGCAAGAGGAGGCCCGGTGCCTAGAAGAGGTAACCTGGTTCCCCACAGCCTCCTTCCATCTCTGTTTCTCTCCATATCCTGAGTCTGAGCCCAGAAGAGGACAGATATAGGACTTGTGTAGTGCCCCTCTGGGGGGTGTAAGGATGCAGAGACCTCACGCTTCAAGTGCTCCATAAGGGAAGAGACAAGAGGCATTGTTTTGCTACCTAGCACTTATCCCACTTCTGGTACCAATTTCTCCACCATTTCTTTGGAGACAGACTTAAGTGACTTAAAAATAAGGGAGAATAGATTTATTTAAATAATACGGATGTCTTGCGGGAAAAGGGCTCTGTGGGGCCAGTCTTCAGGTTAGCATTCTTTCTCTGAGTTCTAGAGCTTTCTTTAAGTTTCATTGGAGGTCGCACTAGGAAAGAATGAGGATTTGTAATCCTTTGCCTCCACATCTCCATTTCCCCAGAAACAGCTGCCTTTGCCCTGTCTCATGTGGGAAATGGGAAAGTATAGGAAGCATTTTCCCGCTGGAGCAACAGTGGCTGCATTCTCTATATTGGATTATTATTTGATTGGTGCTCAAATAACTCTGCTGGCTTTCCTCTTAAAGGTGTCGTCATTTTCAGTCAATATTTATCAGACACCTACCAGGTGCTAAGCAGAGTGCTGAGTGGTAGGAATTTAGCAATAAACGAAAGAGACAAGACCATAGCTCAGGCTTGTAACATAGACAGCTATAGATTTCTTAGTTACCAGAGCCGTAAAAGCAAAAAGCAGACGGGGGGCGGAACATTAGGAAGTGTTTTCCCAGCAGTCACAAAGTCCTGGGCACCACATCAGGTCAGGTGTGGAGGTGTATGTCCAGAGTGCTAGCCCTTAGGAGGTGCTCAGGATAAGAAATTCAAGATCGTTCTCAGCTACGTAGTGAATTCCAGGCCACCCTAGGGTATATGAGACCCTGTCTTAATAAATAAATAGAAACAGATGGAATTTATTTGAGTAGCATCTTTTATTTTTTCCTTGAGACGTAGTCTCACATTCCAGTCCAGCTGTCCTGGGACTTACTGTTCAGCACAGGCTGGCTTCAAACTAAAAGAAATACTGCCTCAGCCTTGCTAGTACTGAAGCTCCAGGAGTGAGACATAGCATTTTATTGAACCTTCTATATCAAAATATGGTCTCAATATGTAATTAATATCTTTATAAGTTTTTTTAATAATATTTTATAATAGATTATTTGCATAGCAAGCCCCTGGAACATTGTGTGTTGGGCATAAAAAGTCATGGGCTTTGTTCTATTTTGTTTTTTAAATTTTGAATACTAATTAAAACATAGTAAATATCATTGTGTTATTTGTTCATCATCTATAAGACCTGCTTCAGAACAAGTTGGGTACCTTCCTTACGTTCCATCAGTTTGTTGGTGTTTTTTATTAGCTGTATCAGTGAGAGAGTTATAGTTACTGCAGTCCAGCCATTCCGGCATTTGCTTCAGTCCGTGGTGTGACTGAGTACACTGTCATCCCAACCAGGGGTGTCTTAGCACCCTGGACCACCTTCTCGAGTCGCTCTAAGCGTTCTTTTTTTTTAAGATTTATTTATTTATTATGTATACAGTATTCTCAGGATTCTGTCTGCATGTATGACTACAGGCCAGAAGAGGGCACCAGATCTCATTACAGATGGTTGTGAGCCACCATGTGGTTGCTGGGAATTGAACTCAGGACCTTTGGAAGAGCAGGCAGTGCTCTTAACCTCTGAGCCATCCCTCCAGCGCCCCACACTAAGCGTTCTTACCTGCACGGTCCCCATCCCCACAACACACTGCCACAGTGCTGCAGTCTGCTTTGCCTTTAGATGGTTTTGCAGCAGCTTCTCAAAAGAGGCTCTATCTTAGCCTGCCCACGACCCGTGCACACAAGCTGAAAGATCAAGAAAGGGAAGGTTCAGAAGACTGAATTTCTAGTCCCATAGGTGTTAGCTCCTGTCACAGCAGAACACATCCCACATAGAGTGGCTCCTAACTTAATCCACACTTGTGATGGGAGATGCCGTAGACATACTTTTGATATGACTTCAAGGGGTCCCCAGAGCCCCCCAGTGCCCATCCATGGAATCTACTGTTCTGGAGTGTCTGTGAACAGCTTCCTTTTCCCTTTCTGGGTCTAGGTGGAAGATCTAATTGTGAAATATCGGAAAAAGAAGAGAACAGTGGCTGGAATCATCGTTGAGCCCATCCAGTCTGAGGGCGGAGACAATCACGCCTCAGACGACTTCTTCCGGAAACTGAGAGACATCGCCCGGAAGGTTAGAGTGCATGGAACAAATCAGACAGGACCACAATGGTTTCTGAGTTCGGTTCCCAAAGCAAAAAGTTGGTTCCACTTCTGCCATGGGGCCATGAGAACTTACATGTGTGCAGAAACTGGCAGACCTTATCGAGGGCAGAGAAGGTGGATTGGTACTAGGGAGTATGGGCACAGGTTTGCCTGGCTTGTACAGAGCCCAGTATTTCATTTGCGGTGGGGGCAGGCTTGAGTTGGGAGGCATGAGTGATTCTCATTTAAAATAACTTTGCTGAATCAGCCTCTGGGACTGGAGTTGTAGTTCAGTGGTAAAGCATTATGTGTAGCACACACAAGGTTCTGGGTTCAGTCCTCAGAAGAAAAGTAAAAGTTTTATGGGACATGATGGCTCAAACCTACAGTCCCAGCACTCAGGAGGCTCAGGCAGGGGGATTATCACAGGTTCAGGGCTATCCTTGGTTATATAGTTTAAGACCAGACTGGGAACTACTGGGATTTATGGTTTGCTTTATTTTTGTTTGGTTGGGTTTTTTCCTTTTAATATATATATATATATATATATATATATATATATACACACACACACACACACACACACACACACACACATTTATATGGGTGTTTTGCTTGCATGTATGTTTGTGCAGCATGTGTATGCACTTCCTACAGAGTCCAGAAGAGGGCATCAGATTCCCCTGAAACTGGAGTTACAGACAGTTGTGAGCTGCCATGTGGGTGCTGGGACTTGAACCATGGTCCTGTGGACGAGTAACCAGTGCTCTAAACCATGGAGTTATCACTCCAGCCCCCAAACTACCGTTTTATTCTGGTGTCTTAGTTAGCGTTTCTACTGCGGCAACAAAACCACCATGACCAAAGAGCAAGTTGGGGAGGAAAGGGTTTATTTGGCTTAAGCTTCCATATTCTTTACTGTTTGCCATTAAAGAAATTCCAGGCAGAACTCACACAGGGCAGGAACCGGGAGGCAGGAGCTGATGTAGTAGCCATGGAGGGGTGCTGCTTACTGGCTTGCTTCCCCTGGCTTTCTCAGTCTGCTTTCTTATAGAACCCAGAACCACCTGCCTAGGGTTGGTTCTACCCACAATGGACTTGGCCCTCCCCCATCAATCACTAATTAAGAAAATGCCCGATAGTCAGATCTTATGAAGACGTTTTCTCAATTAAGGTTCCCTCCTTTGAGATAACTCTAGTTTGTGTGTCAAGTTGGCATAAGACCAGCCAGCAAATCAGGGCTTGTCCAGTGAGGAGATGCCCAAGATGGCTGCAGCCTCCTGCCTTCTGTTTCTGGAATTTGCCTTGTTTTTCAGTCCACTGTGGTCTATAGTCAGCAGGCATAAAGGAGCAGGATCAACATCAAGGCTTTAGGCTAATGGATTGGGCGTTAGCTTTTGTCACTGCAGCCAAATTCCTTGATTTAAACAGTGTAAGCCCCCAGAGAAAAGCCTGACTTTGCTCCATTCCAGAGGGTTCAGGCCACAGTCATCGTCCCCACATGCTTAGCAGAAACCGTGGCAGCAGAAACATGTGACAGAGGAGAACTGTTCAATCGTAGCTGACAGGAAGCATAGAAGGAGACAGTAAGTGAGTGACCAGGAGATCCTCTAACCCCACAATGACCCATTTCCCAGGGACCAGTTTCCTCCACTTCTGAAGTTTCCACAACATTCTAGTAGCACCCTGGCAGCCTGAGGGGGAGTTTATGTTCACATGGTAACAGGTATATATGTACAGTGGACATACCCAACCAGTCAGCTCATCAATAAGACACGTGGGAGACGAGTCAGTTTACACACATATGGAATTAGGGCGTCTGCAGAAACCATGGCAGCTGATGTGGACAGAATGACTTCTCAGCTTCAAGCTTGCACACGTTGTCTCCGGATGCAGTCAAGCCCAGGACAGCAGCCGCACGCCACAGATCCCTGAGATGGTGTGGGGAGTATTGGATGTTCTGATTTTGCTCCGTCTGGGCAGTTCTAGGGCGTGTTCACATGCGGCTCTGATCCAGGCTGTTCTGGTTTGCTCTGCAGAGCTGGGGAATAGGGCCGTTTAGAACACAAGGGTGAGGCACACAGCTGGGCTCCAGCTTGGGTGGATGAGGGGTCCCCAGAGGCTTACACGTTTGTCTCTCCCTGCCCTGTTTTCCGAGCAGCATGGCTGTGCCTTCTTGGTGGATGAAGTTCAGACTGGAGGGGGCTGCACGGGCAAGTTCTGGGCCCACGAGCACTGGGGCTTGGATGACCCAGCTGATGTAATGTCCTTCAGCAAGAAGATGATGACAGGGGGCTTCTTCCACAAGGAGGAGTTCCGGCCAAATGCTGTGAGTATCCTGGCTCTCTCTGCTCGTTCAGAGCAAATGGTTGCTGCAATATTTACCTAAGGAACCAAGGGGTCTCCTGGGTGGCACAGAGGTTTCCTTCAACGTCACATGCAATAAGAACGCCAGTAGCTGCTGCTGTGTAATGGACACTTTGTGCCTGTCCGTTTCTGGTGGTCCCTTAATCCACACAACAATCTAACCACGGAGCCTTGAATTCTCTTTGTAATGCTTCACTAATGGCAGGTCAGGCACAGAAGCCAAGTGTGCCTCTGCCATAGTTACTTTTCTCGTTGCTATGACCCTGTACCTGACAGGAACATCTTAAGAAGAGTTCGGGCTTCCAAGCTGAAGGGATGTAATCCATCATGGCTGGAGGCATGGTGACAAGAGCAGGAGACAAATGGTCACACTGCATCTGTAGTCAGGAAACAGAGAGGGGAAGCGGCGTTGGGCAATAAAACCGTAAGGTGGATCCCCAGTGCCCACTTCCTCCATCAAGGATCCACTTCTTAAAGGTCCTACAGGCTTCCAAAACACTTCCACAGCTGAAATAAGTTTTCAAACATATGAGCCTATAAGAGACACGTTTACATTTAAATCACAGTATCCTCCAAGGCCTGAGCCCGTTAGTGAATAGTCAGGAATCTCACAGAGGCCGTCTGTTAGCCACAAATTTTTAAGTGTGCATATAAATGCATGTGCACACACACATTCTTCAAGGGTCCAAAATTCTTGCATTGTTCCTGTGTGCAGTTTCAATCCTTGAAGTTGCTTCTTTGTTCAAAAATGGCTACTGGAATTCCAGCTTTCATACCTCAGTTCTAATCTGTGATTAGAGTTCTCTCTCTCTCTCTCTCTCTCTCTCTCTCTCTCTCTCTCTCACACACACACACACACACACACACACACACACACACAATTTAATTGTCATGTCTGTGCATGCTACTGCCAGCAGAGGCCAGCAGAGAGCTTCAGAACCCTAGAGCTGGAGTTAGAGATGCTTGCTTGTGAGCCACCCAGTGTGGGCGCCAAGTAGGGAACTCTGGTCCTCTCCAGAAGCAACAAATGCTCGTAACTGCTGAGCCATCTCTTCAGCCTAGTTCTTTGATTTCTCAAATGTGACTTAAACCTCGTCACACGGCCAGTCCACACTGTAAGAGAGGCGGGAAGTGTTTTAGTTGGCAACATCGCCACTGTAAGAACTCATGAATGGGAAAAGTAGAGGATGTCTGAGAATCAGCAGAGCACGGTGCAATCCCAGGGCCCCTGTTGATGAGCATTTGCTAAGGCTAGGATCTTCTAACCTACCTGTACCTTGACTACCTGCTGTTTAAAATGAAGATGATTGTGCACAACTGTGCACCACATAGCAAGGTTTCGGACAACAGTAGGGTGCACAAATCACAGTGCTCCCTCGAGATTGAATTGTCTGTGACATTATAATGACATTTTTGTTTGTCTGTGAATGTTTGCACAGTGGTGAAATCATTGAACAATGCATTTCTCAGAACATCCCCTTTGTTAGGTGATACAGCACTGCAGTTAAGAAACTTGGCTTTTCTGGGCCCGAGAGACTTCCCAGGGGATGTGACAGCCAGGTCTCTCTCAATAAAGCCAACCTTGAGATGTTTGTCAGTTCAGTTTCTTTCCTCTCTGGGGGATGGGATGGAAAGGTGTAAGGTGCTAGGGAGCCGCTTCCGTCAGGGAACTGGTTGCTGTGCAAGCATGGGGACATGAGATTGAGCCCAGCGCCTGTGTGAAAAGCCAGGCATGGTTGGACACACTTGTAATCCCAGCAAAGCTGGGAAGGCAGAAGCAGGAAGCTTCCTGGGACTTGCTGGCTAGCCAGTCTGCCAAATCAATAAGCTTTAGTGTTAGGGAAAGACAGCTCCTGAGGGACAACATCGTTCCTCAGCTAGACTGACCCTAGGTGGATGACAGTTGACCTGGCTTGAGCCAGCTTGCACTGAACCCCACCCCCTTTTGTGTATGTGTATGTATGGGCACATGTGCGTTCATGTGAGCACATATGCACATTTGTGTACGTGTATGAGGAGGCATATACAATCTTTTTAAATTTTTTGCATGGTGAAGGGGGGAGGAGAGAGTTGGAAACTTCAAGAAGAATCATTCATTGAATTCCTCAAATGGCAAACAGTGACCGCTCAGCTAAAGGCTGACACGTGACTGGGTTTCTCTCCTGGGCAGTGAGGACCCTATGTGGAGACCTGCACGGAGTTATGTCTGAACAGGCAGAGTAAAAGGGTGGAATCAAAAAGAGGCAGGAAAATGTTCTGCTGTGAGAGCCCTACTGATCGATCCCTTCTCATTCTAGCCGTACCGGATCTTCAACACCTGGCTGGGAGACCCATCCAAGAACTTGCTGCTGGCTGAGGTCATCAATATCATCAAGCGGGAGGACCTGCTCAACAATGTGACCCATGCCGGGAAGACCCTGCTCACAGGGCTGCTGGACCTCCAGGTACCTGGCTCAGCCCTGGCACTGCTTGCTGGCCTGCAGTTCTCAGCTAGCTTTGCTGTTTTCAGGTTCCCCTGCCTTGGCATGGGCAAAACCAGGTCGCTTCATTCCTCCATGCCAACCCCGTTCCTCGTTCCTTGTTCCTCGTCCCTAATTATCTCTTGACACTAAATTCAAGCATTTCTTTGAGAAGATTCCTCCTGTAACGCTCCTATAGCCATAATTCCCTCCTCTGTACAGTCCGGGGGGAGTTGTTGCAAGCCACATGTGTAGTTTTTCTTTTTAAAAAAAAATGTTTATTAATTGTATATACAGTGTTCTGCCTGCGTGTACACCAGGTCTCTTTACAGATGGTTGTGAGCCACCGTGTGGTTGCTGGGAATTGAACTCAGGACCTTAAGAAGATCAGGCAGTGCTCTTAACCGCTGAGCCATCTCTCCAGCCTGATGGAGGAGGGTTATCTGTCTATTGTGTTATTTTCATTGGTCTATAAAGAGACTGCCTTGGCCCTTTGATAGGACAGAAAATTAGGTAGGCGGAGTAAACAGAATAGAATGCTGGGAAGAGGGCAATGAGACAGATGCCATGGAGTCAGCCACCAGGTCAGACATGCTGAATCTTTTCCGGTAAGCCACTACCTCGTGGTGCTACCACGAGATTATTAGAAATGGGTTAATATCAAGATATGAGAGTTAGTCAGTAACTAACTCTCTAGAGATAATGGGCCAGGCAGTGCTTAAATGAATACAATTTGTATGTTGTTATTTCTAGGACTAAGCTAACCGTGCGGGAGCTGGGCAGTATGAAAAGCAGGCCTGCCCGCAGCCCCTCACTACACCAGCCCCTTATTTTTTTTATTATATTGAAACAAGGCATCGTGTAACCCAAGCTGGCCTTGAATGTGATGTGTATTAAGAGTGACTTTGAATTCCCCATCTTCCTGCCTCTACCTCCAAGTCCTGGGATTACAGATGTGTAGCTCACAGCTGTAATTTTAAATATCTTAAAAACCAGATGAAAAGCAAATTGGAATAGGTAAAGTTATTTTTAATGATATGTTTTACTTAACCTATCTGATGTCCAAAATATTACTATTTCAACAAGTCATCAATATAGAAAGTAAGTAATGACCAGGTGGTGGTGGCGCACGCTTTTAATCCCAGTACTTGGGAGGCAGAGGCAGGTGGATCTCAGTGAGCTGGAGGCCAGCCTGGACTACAAAGTGAGTTCCAGGACAGCCAGGACTGTTACACAGAGAAACCCTGTCTCAAAAAACAAATAAATAAACAAAAGGGAGGGAGGGAGGAAGAGAGGGAAGGAGGGAGGAAAAGGGAGAGAAAGAGAGGGAGGGAGGGAGGGAAAATAAGTAATATGCCCTGCCTGTATTGCATTCCAATCATCTCAGTACTGAAGAGACAGAGAGAAAGGAAGGTCATTGCAAGTTGAAGGTCAGCCTCATCCACATAGCAAGTTCTAGGCCAGCAAGGGTTTGTAGACTGAGCCTCTCTCACAAACACCCACATAAAAGCTGTGTGGGTGTGTCAGCACCAGCAGGTCCCCAGGTAACAAGCTTTGACGCAGGTTTGCCTTCCTGCTGCAGGCCCGGTACCCCCAGTTCATCAGCAGAGCGAGAGGACGAGGCACCTTTTGTTCCTTCGACACTCCAGACGAATCCGTACGGAATAAACTCATCCTAACCGCCAGAAACAAAGGTGGGGGGGGTGGACACTGAATTAGTTATCTCAGCAGTCTCTTGCTTTGCTGAGTGGGTGCCAAGCTTTGCTAGGACGGGGTGGGGGAAGTGGAGGTGCATGGGATAAACAGATTCAATGCCCTTTCTTGAAAGGTGGGACTCATGCTTTCTTCTCATCTGACTTTATTTCTTCTTCCTGTGTTTTGAGGCAGCGTGGTGTATCCCAGGTTTGCTACAAACTTGCTATGTAGCTAATTGAGGATGAATTTTTGTTTTGTTTTATTTTGGTTTTGGTTTTGTTTTTTGAGACAAGGTTTTTCTGTAGTTTTGGAGCCTGTCCTGGAACTAGCTCTTGTAGACCAGGCTGGCTTCAAACTCACAGAGATCCGCCTGCCTCTGCCTCCCGAGTGCTGGGATGAATGGCGTACGACACCACTGCATGACTGAGTTTTAAACACCCATTCCTACTGCCTCTACTTCTCCAGTGCTGGCATTACAGGCATAGACTACCACACTTAGCTTGTTCAGGGCTGAGGATGGAACCTACGGCCTCATACAAGCTAACCAAGCCCATGAAAGATTGCTTCCCCCACTCCTGTGCTTCTGGCACCCGCTGAGAAGGCAAGCAGTACTAACGGTGGGAACAGGCACAGCAAGGGCCAAGACCTTTCTCCAGGAACCATAGTTGCTCAGGAAGCAAACACTTTTTTGTACCACTCAGCTAGCCTACCGCTACACCCTGCCCACCACCATTTTTCCTTTTAAAGAAATTTTTATGATGTCTGTGATATGTGTATGTGTGAGTCCAAGGGCCACAGTCACATGCGGAAGTCAGAAGACAAAACTTCATGGGGTCAGTTCTCTCCTACGTTTATGTGGGTTTCAGGGATTGAATTCAGGCCATTCGGCTTGCATGGACCTCCTCACTCCCCACCCCATCACTCCTGCCGCCTTTTAATTGGCCAGAGTGGCCTTGGACTCACCCTGTAGCTCAGACTCACTTTGGACTTACGATCCTCCTTTACAAGCCTCTTGAGTAGCTGGGGTTATGGGCATGTTCCCCTAAGCCTAGCTTTTAACTTTTTATTCATTTGTATTTTGAGATAGGGTCTTGTTGTATACCCTAGGCCTAGAACTTGGAATTCTTCTGCTTCAGTCTCTCAAGTGCTGGGATTACAGACATGTGACACCATGCCTGCCTTAGCCTCCTTTCTAAAATATGAAAAATAGTTCCAAAGAAAGTGAGCAAGCCAGGCAAGTATGCCCAGTACACATGGCTAAATCCCTCTTTGGAAATCAGCAGGTCCACGTGTTCGGTCAGGGCCTAGCCCTTCTGCACGTGCTTTTGTAATGTATTCACTTACCCTGAGTTTCTGGCGAAGAAGAACTTCTACCTTGAGATTTCTCTACCGTCCAACCCAGTAGGAGGAGAAGAGCTGACGTGTAACGTTAGGGAAGGCTGGGCATAGTGGCACATACCTTTAACCCCAGGCAGGCAAAGCTCTGTGAATTCAAGGCCAGCCTGGTTCACAGAGCAAGTTCTAGGCCAGCCAGGGTTACACAGTGAGACCTTGTTTCAAAAAAAGAAAGAAAAACAACAAATAAAATTCAAAATCAGGAAGGAAGGAAAGAAGAGGGCGGGTAAAGGAAGAGAGAAAGGGAGAAAGGAGGGATGAATAGGAGGATGGGGGCCTGCAAATGACAGCGACTGCTGACCCCCCAAGTCGCCCACTCCTAACCTAATCCTGCTCTTCTTCCAGGTGTGGTGCTGGGGGGCTGTGGTGACAAGTCCATCCGTTTCCGTCCCACACTGGTCTTCAGGGATCACCACGCTCACCTGTTCCTCAACATCTTCAGTGACATCTTAGCAGACTTCAAGTAAAGAAGCCGTTCCCGTGACATTCAGAGAAAGCCTGGTCAGCGGTGTCAACCTGATTAGTTTGCCTAATTCATATTTTCACTTCCAAGTTTATCAGAGGCGAATGCATTAACTGAAGGGTCCTTTGTGGGGCAGGCTCATCGTTCAGTGGTTGTGGAGGAAGAGCGGGTCAGGAGGACCTGGGTTTGAGTTTCCTCCCTGCAGGACTCATGGTGCCAATTGGTTAAAGCCCTTAAGTTCTGTGTAAGCTTGGACACTGTCTTAGGAAAGACCATGAGGCCATATTTCTGCCAACCCTGGACCAACCAGTTTCTTAGAAGCCACTCAATGCCATTATACCTGCTCTGAGGAGGGCGGGCAGGATCCTTGGGTCTCTGTCCATCTCAAGTACCCTGTTCTGGGATTAGAGATGCTGATGTCCTCTTGTCCTCCACAAACCAAATCTCCTTGCTTCTCACCAAATCCCTAGCTCCATGCCCCACTCGTGACTTAGTGAGGGTCTGATGGCTCTCAGGAAGATGACAGGTAGGGAGATAAGGGGTGTGTTTGAGGGAGAGGAGGGGCTTCTGGTATCCTAGACACCAAGATCCTGTGCTCTTGGTGGTGTCCCTGGCCTGCAAACTCTGTCCCTGACTGACCTGTGCTCCTGGAGGATCTCTGAGTGGCATCCGTGGTAGTTCTTAGGCAACAGTCTCCACCCTGAGTCAGTCTTGACCCAAGGGAAGGAAACTACATCCCGAGCACCCAGGGAACACGTGGGAGCTGAGGTTGCCTCTGGAGCCCGAGCTGAGGAGCATGAGCAGTATAGCCACAGGCCCTCTGACCTGTGACCCCTCATCCTGGGACCTTCATAACCCAGCCTTCACTCATCCACCTTCCCGTCTCTCCAGAGCAGGGCTCTTCCATCCCAGGGGACCACTGCTAGACTTCTTGCTAAAGGCGATGTGTTCATTATAAAGGCATAAGACAGCACACGTGGAAAAGCAGCTTGCTGGTTCATGATGGTATTCTTGGACTTGCCCTGCCCCCCAGCCCCACCCCATACCACCCCACCGAGAGCCTGGGCCTTTCCTGAACTGGGAGCTTACATTACCCTTAGCCAGCAGCCAATGCTGATGCAGGCTCCAGCATCTCCGCTGGAGGCGTGGTGTTCTTAGAGCTGACTTGACCTGAGAGGCTCCTGAGCAGAGCCCCTCCCCTTCAGAGAGGCAGCGGTTAACAGGTAGACCACAGGGGGATGATTTGTCTTCTCCCAATATCTGCTTTGCATCCTGGAACCCTCGTTGAGTATCTGGAGAGATGGGTATACCAGGCTTCCCAGTTCAGCCCTTTGCTCTTGAATCGTCCAAAGATCTGGCTTCCATGCTTCCTTAGGCATGGTCATCAATTCACCTGCCTTGAAGATGAAAGGCATTGGCATGCTTAATAGAAACAGCCGATCCATGAGTCCCAGTTCGCCTCACTACCCTGCAGTCTGAGACTCAGCCATCCCTTTTCATTTCCACAACCATGTAAGGGATGGGGTTTGCCTCCCTCCCTCCCTGTAAGGTTTCATCCACCAGTATGTCTATTTCCACATCAATAATTTATTCACTCATCTAACTTTCATGAAACACTTGCACTGTCCCAGGCCCTGTGCTAAGCACCAGGAATACAAACATGAGATAAAGACCCTGCTCCCAGGGGACTCCCACTCTCCTGGGAACCACAGACCGTTAATGTTGAAGTCAGAGTGGCATGTGTGCTCTAGCAAGGCTTTCTGAATATTAGTAAGTCCAAGGAACCGTTAAGGAGAAAGGGGTGTTTGATCAGAATCCTCCAGAATGGAAAGCTAGTCAAGCACAAAGCAAGGAACAGTAAGGAAAGGAGAAAGCTTGTGTAGAGGGCACATTTGTTCATAGCCTCGGCCCTTTCCCCCGGGGAACCAGGGTCCACCCAGAATATCCCAAGGTTCAAAGTCCTATTTAAAAACACAAGGAAAGTGCAGGCCAAACCCTAATTCACCCATTGGTTCAAGCATGCTTCCTCCTGAGAGCCACAGCAGCACGCGCAATGCTCAGTCAGGTCCTTGCGTTCAAGGGTCTTAAGCTAGGACACAGGCAGAAATCACTGTCTTTAGCGGAGGGAGTTGCTGATGTTTTATTTTCTTCCACAGGGTGTGCTGACAGAAGAAGGAAATCATTTCTAGAAAGTCATATCCAGATGTGTTGTTTCCCCCTTGCCTGGGGACAGTTCTTCTCATTTTAAACAAACAAACAAAATTTATGCTATTTATCCCAAGTTCTTGACTTGGGCACAGTATGTTCCTGAGATGTCATCTTTGGAGGTTAACTGAAAGAATCCCAAGGAAAAGGATTTCCATAAAACTCAAGATGGTAAAAACTTAGAAAAGGCTAGTGAAAACCCAGGAAGCCTGGTGGGCAGAACCCACAATGAGGCGCCTGTGTGCAGGTCTGGATGAAGACCCATCGTGCATTAGTATAGTAGAGTTTAGTAAACGTCTCTAGCCTGTTGTGTCAATTTTGCAGAAAACAAGGCCCAGTACTAGTGTGTCTTAGAAGTCCTCCCTTTTTATTATAAATGGGTGTTTTGTTTCGTTTTTTTATAATTTTTACTGATGCTCAGTAACCATGCAAAATTGTGCACATTAATGTACTAATTACTAGATCTGTACTTATCTATACTCAGTATATCCGCTCACTGTAGAAAACCGCAGCTAGCGAGCATCGCAGACGCACGAAGGCCAAGTGATCTTGTTTACAGTAATTGTTCAACAGTGCCAATAAGTGACGAGGAAACTAACATGTCACGGTGTAACTGGTGACCACGTGCACAATTCCATGAACTAAACCTGTTTCCTGTGTTAATCGGTATTCTTAAATTAAAATGTTTATAATGGAAACCTCAGAGTGAATGTGGGCTTTGTCCGGGGCTTACATTGCCCCAGATGGCACAATGGCAGATTAAGGAAGGATTCCTAAGGATTCCGTCCCAGTTCAGCCTGGCGAAACTGTCAACTTGCTGGTTGCTGGTGTAGAAGCGTGGGGGACTCACACAGCTGCATCGCACAAAAGCCGTGTGCTCAAAGCCCCACCGCAGTCTCTTCTCCCTGAGCAAGGGTTTCTGTAATCTCAGGACGACACTGTGAGTCCTGTGGGCTTCTGTATTCCTTGCTTTCCTCCTGTTGACCCAGGGTCTGACCAGCAGCTTGAGGAGAAGGGCTCTGTTTCAGTTTAAAATTTAAGAAACGACTTCGTCCATCCGAGTGTAGAAGGTGTGGTCACAGGAGGGCGAAGCACCTGGTCACATTGCTTCCTCAGCCAGGAAGCAAAGAGCAGACACAAGTGGACCGAGGCCAGAAAACCTCAGGGCACCCCAAAGACCCACTTCCTCCTAAAGATTCCACAGCTCTCTGAAACAGCGCCACCAGCTGGGAATCAAGTGTTCAAACACCAAGCATGGGAGCGGGGGTGAGGGAGAGTCTCACTTTCATAAACCTCGGACACAGTGAATTTCCTGGGCCCCCAAGCCTCCCTGTCTGCAAGGGGCTGCTTCAATCGAGCCAGAACTGACACCTGACACCTGGGCTCAGGCAGGCGGAAGTCAAGCCCTGAGTTTGATCTTCAGGACTCTGCAGTGACTGAGCAAAGGACAGAAGAGAGCAGGGTGATGTCTCTGAGGTTGGTATCGCTAGGTCACAGGGAGGTGAGGTGAGGTGACATGGGAAATCAGTCAGCTCGCATCCTTGAAGGCCTTCTGCACCACGCTGAGGGGCACCACGCTGAGGGGCAGGCTTCCATGAGGGCAAGGGAGCTGCTGAGGGTTTGGGACAGTAGAATCACCCAAGATGCATTTTAAAAAGCTCCTTAGTAAGTTGGGATTGGAGAAACGGCTCGGCAGTTAAGAGTGTTTGCTGCTTTTGCAGAGGACCCAAGTTCAATTCCGAGCACCCATCTTGGGCAGCTCATAACCACCTCTAACTCCAGTGACAAGGCACTCACATGTACACACCCACATTTAGATGCACATATATACACATCATTTCAAATAAAATAACTCTTTAGAAAGAATTCCTGGGGCTGGAGCAAGGGCTCAGAGGTTGAGAGCACTTGATGCTCTTGCAAAGGATCCAGGTTGAGCTCCCAGCATTCACATGGCAGCTGTAACCGGCCTCCAAGGACACCAAGCATGCACATGGTGCGCAGACATACATCAGGTAAGACATACATATAAAACATACAAATCTCCTTTTTAATTCCTGAGTGCATGAAGAACGGTGGTACTGGCAGAGCCATTAGTGACCCTACATGTGGCATCTAGCACACCAGAGAAGCAACAGGGTCCGAAGGCAGCAACTTATTTGCTTGTTTACATTTTTGAGACAGCGTCTCACTAGGTACTCCTGGCTGGCCTATAACTGATTAGGTAGACCAGGCTACCCTTGAGCTCACATTCACCTGCCTCTGCCTCCCAAACACTAAGACTAAAGGCATATGCCACCACACCTGGCCCAGAGGGAAACGGTTACCTTAATATTTAACTTTTTCACTTATATTTTTTTATGTGTATGGCTCTTTACCCTGCATATAAGTCTGTGTGGCACTTTCATACAGTGTGCGCGGAGGCCAGAAGATGCCCTGTCCCTCCGAACTGGAGTTACAGACTGTTGAGAGTCATCGTGTGGTTGCTGGAAACTGAGCCTGGGTCCTCTGGAAAAGCAGCCTGCTCTGACCTGATGAACCATCTCTCTAGCCCCTGTTTACCTTTCCCTGGGCAAAATATCCTGGACTGTATGAAAGTAGAGACTCTGAGCTGAGCAAAAGCAAACAACTGAGCATGCATCCACTCGTTTATCTCTGCTCCTGGCAGTGGAGGTGATGTCGTCGACTGCTTCAAGTCCCAACAGCAGTGATTTCTTACCTGGAACTGGAAGCAAAGCAAACCCCTTCTCCCCTAAACTGATGCTGTCAGGGCCATTTTGCCACAACAACAGAAATGAGGCTAGAACTCTGACTGAAGCTTTCTGAAAAATCATCTACGTTGGATGCGGTGGCTCACACGTGCGATTTCAATGAGTCAGGAGGCGAGTCAGAGGCTAGCCTGAGCTACATAGCAAGGTCTCATCTTAAAAACCAAGATTAAGGGACATTGGTCAAGAGAATGCACTGCTCTTCCAGAGTACTTGAGTATGGGTTCCAGCACCACATAGGGTGTCTTATAACCGCCTAGAACTCCAGCTCCAGGGGATCCAATGCTCTCTTTTGACTTCCTTAAGCATTGCACTCACGTGTACGTCCCCGCACATGCATACACACAGTTAAAAACAAAATCCTTTTTGAAATTAAATGTAAATACGAAGTAATGTACTAATTTCCTGTCAAGCGGCAGGCATCTGGCAGAGGCAGTTCCTCTCATCACCGCTCTTTGCTGGGTTTGGAAGTACAGTCCTATGAGCCAGCACTTGGGAGGCAGAGACAGAGGGATCACCTCAAGTTTGAGGGCATCTTAGTCTACAGCACAAGTTCTAGGCCAACCATGGCTCTATAGGGATACCCTGTCTATAGAAACTGAAAACAGCAATAACAAAACAAAACATTACTTCTGTGTGATGAGCCACGTGTCTCATAAGGCCAACACCACCACTTATTTCCGTCAAAGCCACATTCCCACAGATAAACACTGTCTGTTTCCCAATGCAGGGCCAGGCCTGGCTGCTGCTGGTGTATTTCAACCATTAATCAGAGAAACCAATGATTTGTCTCTGGTGCGGGCACAAACAAGGACAGATGGTGTCAGGCCTGCCTGGTTAAGTCTAATTAGACAAGATTTTACAGCTGAATGCTGCAGGCCATAACACATGGACTCTGCCTGAGGCTCAGAGAGACCCTGTTGCTCTTCATTAAAGAACTCGGGGCTCCTGCAGCCATAAGACAGCAATGAAATAAAAGTTTCAGGCAGGTTGTTAGGGTGACTTATCCCAGGCCGTCCTCCCAAAGCAGCTAAGCCCACAAACTATATTCTGGGAAGGGCATTAGATGCAGTGGTTTGATGATGGCCTGGGATGGGGGATAAACACCTGCTGACGGACAAATTTCGCTTGCTTTGGGAAAACAGAAAGGACGACAGCAAGGGGCTGAGCCATGTGGCTGCCTTATGAGCAAAGTAGGAATCTTGTCAGTCACAGCAGACCTCACCGTAGTTACAATGTCAGCTGAACAGAACCCAACAAGCCCCGAGCAGATCATCCTGTCCCCGAGCACAGACCATGTAGAGTCATAGTGTGTGGCAGGAGTGCCCAGACAGTTCTTAGCTGACGGGAAGGAAAGCCATGGCATGAGAACAAACAGGACACCATCCCAAATGCTTTCCAACAGCTGTGCTTCTGATGTGCACCCAGTAAGAGTCCAGATGGAAGCACATAGTTGGCAAGCATTTCTCTACCTAGAAAACCTGCTGAGGGAAGCTGGGGAGATGGGTCAGTCAGTAAAATGCTTGCCGAACAAGCACGAAGATCTGAGTTCAAATCCCCAACACACGGTCACATAAAAGCTAGGTAGAGTGGCATGCACCTGTAATCTCATCAGGAGGGTGGGGGAGGGGGAACAGGAGGATCCCAGGGGCTCAATGGCCAGCTAGCCTGGCTTAATTGGTGATCACAAGTGGAATATCGGTGTTGCATGCTTGTAATTCCAGCACTTGGAAGACAGAAGAATCGGAAGTTCAGGTCATTTTTGACTACATAAATACATTCGAGGCCAGCCTGGGCTATATAAAGTTCCATCTCAAAAAAATCATCCTCAACATAAAAAGAAGGGGTAGCCATACTGTGAGAGTAGGTGGCCCTTGATGGGGCCACGAGGGGAGCCTGAGCCATCACTCAGATACTGTGCACACACCCCTGGCACTCAGCAGCACGTCACCAGTCATGTCAGATCCCGAGATAAGTTCTGTTTGCTATGTTTTATTTTCCGGTGGAATATTCCTTTACACTGTGTATATGTCAATATGACTGGTTTAATTAAAAAAAAAAAAGAAAAAAACTAAATGACCAGTAGCGAGGCAGGATTTTCGGGGTAGAAAGAATGCTGGGAAGAAGAACAGAGTTCTCAGGAGTTGGGAGCAAGAGGCAGAGGGAGCAGGAAACGAACATGCCATACTGAGACAAGGTGCCGAGCCACATGATAGAACACAGACAAAAATATGGGTTAGTCTAAGTTATAAGAGCTAGCTACAAACAAGCCTAAGCTATCGGCCAAGCATTTATAATTAAGTCTCTGTGTGGTTATTTGGGAAGTGACTGGCAGGAGAGAAAAGTCTGACTACATTTTATGTTACTCTGAGACAGGGTCTCATGTAGCCCAGGCTATCCTCAGATGAGATTGTCCTATCTCGGGCTCAGAAGTGTTGAGATCAGAGGAGTGCACTACCATGCCCAGCCTCACCAAAACATTTGTACTTAATCTTTTTTTTTTTTACTACAATTTTATATATTTAATTTGGTGTGTGTCTATGGCTGTGAGTGTGTGTGCCACATTTTGTGTGTGGCGATCAGAGGACCTGTGGGAATCGGGCCTGCGGGACTGAATTCTGGCTGTCAGGCTTGGCATCAAGCCTCTTTACCTGCAGAGCCCTCTCACCCGTCCTTTACTTAATCTTTTAAATCTTTCAGTTGATAGAAACTCAGGTGCCACCAGCATCTTGTATAGCTATTGTTAAGGCACTTAAGCCGGGCGGTGGTGGCGCATGCCTTTAATCACAAGCAGATCTCTGTGAGTTCGAGGCCAGCCTGGTCTACAGAGTTCCAGGACAGCCAGGGCTACACAGAGAAATCCTGGCTCCAAAAAGCAAAACACAAACAAACAAACACACTTAAGCAAACAAAACAACACACTTCTCTTGGGAAGCCCGACCCCGCTATAAGGCATGTACAATTGCCTTTTATACGTGCGCGCACGCGCACGTGTGTGTGTGTGTGTGTGTGTGTGTGGTGTGTGAGTGTGTGTGTGTATGTGGTGTGTGTGTGTGTGTGTGTATGTGAGTGTGGTGTGTGTGTGTGTGTGTGCGTTTGAATTTTATTCTGTTCTAGCTTGGTTCGATTGCTGTGATAAACACCATGATCAAAAACAACTTAAGGAGTTGAGTGTTTATTTGGCTGTGTCCCAATCACAATCCACCACTGAGGGGAATCAGGAACTTCATGGCAGAGGTTATGGAGGAGCTGCATCCTAGTTTGCTCTCCAGGCTCACAGACAGCCACCTTTATCACCCAGGGCCACCTTCCCAGGGGTGCCAATGCCCACAGCGGCTGGGTCCTCCCACGTCAATCATCTTAATCAGGAAAATGCCCCACAGTGCCTGCAGTCTAGTCTGCTGGAGGCATTTCTCAGTTGAAGGATTTCCTCTTTCCAGATGACCCAGTTCGTGTCAAGTTGACAAAAAATAGCCAATACCCTCCCTCCCTTCCCCCCTCCATCCTTCCCTCCTTTCTTTCACTCCTCCCTCCTTCCCTCTCTTCATCCCGCTGTCCTTTCAAGTCAAACCCTGCTGTGTAAATCAGGATGGCCTTGACTTTACAGCAATCCTCCTGCCTCAGACTCTTTAGTGTTTGGGTTACAGATATGTGCCACACCTAGCTTCTCTCTCTTTTTCTTCTCTTTTTCTCTCTTTTTTCTTCTTCTCTTTTTTCTTTTTCTGTTGTTTTTTGTTGTTGTTGTTTGTTTGTTTGTTTGTTTCAAGACAGGGTTTCTCTGTATAGTCCTAGCTGTCCTAAAACTCTGTGGGCCAGGCTGACCTCAAACTCACAGAGATCCTCCTGCCTCTGCCTTCAGAGCACTAGGAAGGTGTGCACCACCACCACCTAGCTTCCCTCTCTCTTTTAATGCCCATATTTAAATCTATATCGAAACATCTTAGGCAGGAGGGTCTCTGTGAGTGACCTGGCCTTGCTATTTTTGCATTTCTGTGTAAACCCTTGTTTTTAATTCAAGAACCTAGAAACACTAGGTCCAATACCCAATCATACACTAGGTCCCACACTCAGTCACTGACCACAAAAGGTTCTTCTTGCACTTCTCCACCTCCAGAGCGCTAAGAAATGAACGTCGAGTCACCCAGTCTGCAGTGTGGTGGTCGTGGGCTGGCTCTGTTTTGGTTCATTATTTGAGACAGGGTCTCTGATTGCCCAGGTTGGCCTAGAACTTTGTAGCTGAGGATAACCTTGAACTCCTGATCACCCTGCCTCAGCTTCCCAAGTGATGATCACAGTGCGTAACTAACCATGCCTTTGTTGGAAGGCAGGTTGAGTCTCATTCTGTAGCCCAGGCTGGCCTCTTCTGCCTGAGCTTTCCCAGTGTTAGGATTTTAGGCATGAACAACCATGTCTGGCTCTTATTTTTGCTATAGCCCAAAGGGTTTGGGGATGTGGCTAAGTGGTAGAGTGCTTGCCTATCCTGTACAAGGCATTGAACTGGAACCCCAGCAGCACCACCATGTGAGCGAGCATGCACATGTGCACACACATACACACACACCAAAAGAACTAAGACAATTATTATCGTAGACTTGTTTTTCAAAGGGACAAATCACCAATATAGTCACAGACTAAATCTAAAAGCCTTTTTCTCTTGTGACCTGGAACTTCTAAGACTATTTTGGCCTCAAACTAAGAGCAACCCATCTGCCTCCGCCTCCTGACATTAAAGGCCTACACCACCAAGCCTGGCTCTTGTTTTCTAAATCGCTCAAACCACTGCCCTGCTGACGTTACAGAACTATACTCACGTCCTGTTACTGGTGGAGAGAGTCTGATTTTAGCTGAGGTGTAGGGGAGAGTAGTACACTTGTGTGCCCTCTGCTGGCACCTTGTGAGCAGACCACAGAGCAAGCCAAGGCCACTCTGGTGAGAAAGGGCTCTCTTCTCACAAGCATGCCCCTGGCAGGCCTAGCAGCCTTGTAGTTGGTGTCATGCTGACTCCCCACTGCAGTCACCTGGAGAACCTGGCAGTAAGAATAACAGGGAAGGGCCTGGGTGGTCTTCAAAGTATTACCATCATAAAACTGAGCCAATGGCAAACAAAAGGGCAGACACTTCTTATTGTTTTGTCTGTTGTTTTGTCATCCAGTCTAATTTAGACCAGACTGACCACAAACTCATTAAATAGCCAAGGTCCTCTTACCTCTACCTCCCAAGGACTGGGATTACTGGTTTCTGCCAATATAACCAATTTATATGGTGCTGGACATTGAACCCAGGATTTAGCATTCTACTGAGCTACATTCCCAGCCCCTTAAACTGGGACTTCTAAACTGGTTTGAGGCCCTCTGGGTGCAACCAGGCTGCACCAATAACATAACAATAACAGGAGAATCAAATTCAAGGTCATTATCAGCTACACAGCAAACTCGAGGTTAGCCTGGGCTAAAAAATACAAAAGGCCCTGTCTCAAAATAAGATCATAGCTGGGCTGTGGTGGTGCACACCTTTAATCCCAGCACTTGGGAGGCAGAGACAGGCAGATTTCTGTGAGTACAAGGCCAGCCTGGTCTACAAGAGTTAGTTCCAGGACAGGATCCAAAGCTACAGAGAAACCCTGTTTCGGGGGGGAAGGGGAGTTTAAAACAAGATCAAAGATTTTGTTTTTATTATATGAGGAGAGAGGTGTGTGCATGCCTCTGCCCATGGTTGTCAGAGGACAGCCCAAAGCAGTCAGTTCTCTTCTTATTGTACAGGTCCCTTGGCTCAAGGGCCAGCTGCCAGAATTGATGGTAAACACCGTTATCCTTTGAGCCCTCCTTCCCCCAAGTTTATTATTCACATTCTGGAGTCTAAAGTTAGATGTTCTTCGTTGTTAAATTAACTTCAAAGTGTTGCAGCTCCTACAGGCTCTGACACCCTGTGAATACGACTGTGTTCTCATGGCCCAGTGTCCACTAGGGAAGAGGTGTTTTTCAGTCTATGTGACAACATGGGCAGGGGCAGAACGTGACAAAAAAAATAGATAGGCAAGACGTGACCTAAGTCATTTCCCCCTCCCCGCCCCACTACCTAGGAAACGGAATGCTAAGACATTTCCTCTTCAATTTACACTTTGATATAAAAGCTGTTTGGAAAATAAACACAGGTGAATTTCAGGGTGTGAATTTAGGATTTCATGAAGAATCCCTGAAACTCCCTCCAGATGCTATTGTGTGAACTGTGCTTCATTTATTCCCACACCTCCACTCTGGTACAAGAAATGATTTATGTCAGGGCTGCTCCCTGACACCTGAGTACCAAGGTCCTATTTGGGACAGTCAAGCATGAATTTTGTTGGTTTGTTGAGACAGGGCTTCTCTGTAGCCGTGGCTGTCCTGAAGCTGGCTCTGCAGACAGGCTGGCCTCTGCAGTGGAAGCATTAGAATTAGCCAGCAGTGCTGGCTGGACTGAGGGCGTGTTTCGTGTCCCTGAACAACACGAAGGGTACAATTCAATATGTACACTTTTAAGTTTGACTCTTTTGTGATTACAGCATAATTATATCATTTCCCCCTCCCACATGTATGTTTCTGAATAGAACCTGCTTAGTCTGTACTTGTGTGTATGTTTTCAGGGCCGACCATTTCTCAGTGGACAGCTAACTGGTGTGCTCTCCCCTGAGGAAGACAATTTCTCCTGCTTTCAGAATTCTTATGTTGCCTGTAGTTCTCTGTCTGGTTGAGGCCTTATGGTGTGTCCTCCCCGCAACTCCCAACACACTGTGGCATATTTGTTGTTATCTTTGTTCATGCTCTGCTTACTTTACAGCAGGGAAGAATAGAGGAACAGTGGGTAAAGGTGCTCACTGTCAAATCTGACAACCCGAATTTAATCCCCAAGACCTGAATGGTGTAAGGAAAAGGACGCTGAAAAGTTATCCTCCAACCCTCACATATGCACAGTAGTATACACACAAATAAATAAAAAGAAATTACAAAACAAAGCACTTTGAGTGGGCAGCTGCTTTCCTTTCTATGCAGGCACAATTCGCCTAATAAGCATGTTGGTTATTCATTATGAAAAGCAGCATATCCAGTCTCCTGACAGACTTGCTTGGATAGAGTCCCTCTATCCTGATGACAACGATGTGAGTGGCCCTGGATCTCCTGGGAGTCAACACATTCTTGGCTGGTGCTGTCCCTACCTCAGTCAGCCTGTAATGATGCAGGAGGAGACCGCTCGTTCATTTCCCAACTGCCCAGACCCAAATAATCACACAAAAACTATATTAATTACAATACTGCTTGGCCAATAGTTTAGGTGTGTTTCTGGCTAACTTTTATATCTTAAATTAACCCATTTCTATAATCTGTGTATTGCCACGAGACTGTGGCTTACTACTGGAAAGGTTCTCTGACTCCGCCTACTTTCTATATCTCTTTCAGCCTGGATACATTTTACTAAGTCATTGGCTGAAACAGCTTTATTCATTAGCCAATAAAAGCAACACACACAGAAGGACATCCCACATCATCTGCCCTTTTCTGTCTAATTAAAAAGGAAAGTTTTAACATAGCAAAAATTACATATATGACAGTTAACAAGGAAAAATTAGTTACAATACTTGTGAATCTAAAGTTTTATATCTAATTTATCTTTAATCATAACTAAGAAAAGCTATAACTATCTAGTCTTTAACTCCATTAAAGACCCCAGAAGGATATATTACCTTTGTAAGCAACTTCCAAAACTCTAGAATTGACAGAGACATTTCGATGCCTGGACAGTCACCCAGAGTTTATTTTGCCCTACCGTAGGCTGAAGCTGTTTCATTCATCAACCAATAAGGCAACACATATACAGAAGGACATCCCACATCATAGTGACTTCCTGATGGGAGAAAAACAAGCCGACTTTAGGCTTCAGCGCTAGCCGCCGAGCTAGCTGTTGAGTGCACAGGCCGCCTGGAAGCCTCCCTCGGTGCTGTAAACTCTGGGCTGCTGCCCTGGCACAGCACCAGCATGTACTGGTGTGTCTTTTCTGTGGTGCTGAGGGTGGAACTTAGGGCCTTATATATGCTAGAGCTCTACCACACAGCTACATGTCCAGTCTCAGCCATTACTGGTATTTTCACATCCATCACCACAAGAGAAGGCGGCTCTTCTATCTCACAGAGGGCAATTCAAGGCTCAGTGACTTAATACCCTGCCCCAGGTCAAGGAGCTGAAGTCCCAGTAGAACCCAAGTCTCCAGACTCTAGTCTGTGTTCCTCTGCCAACCTTCCTGCCTTCTGGTTTCATAGCAGTGGGCTGCCTCAGTGATCTTGGCATAGCATTCCTCCAAGTACCTCTTCATAGAAACTTCTAGCCACTATCTGTTAGAATGCCCTATTGAGCAAAATGTTCCCCCAAGGGCTTTTTCCTAAAGGTGGTTAACATCTTCTTTTTTGGCCCACAACAACCTTGAACCTCTTCTTCATCTGCTTCCATCTTCTGTGCCTGGTTATATGCAGCTCTAGGGATTGAACCCAGGGTTTTACTTCCTGCGTGATAGACGAGCAGTCTACCAGCGGAGCTTCAGTCCCAGCCCCTGGTTATTAGCTTCTGCCTCATCAATGTTCTGGCCTTCCCCTCTAAAATCCGGTGTAACCAGGGATATGGGAGGTCTAGTTGCTGTTCTTTACTTGAGTCTGGTCAGGGTTCCAAACACTTGTGAGAAACGTTCTTTGTCCAGGATTCGCCCATAGCGCAGGGTAAGGTAGAAGGTCTGCTTGCCACTGTATTGCTGGATGCGTACAAATATATCCTGGGCCTGGTCCTTGGATTCTGTCAGGGGTACCATGTCTGACACGGCATAGTATGAGTTCTGTCGTCGTCCCCAGAAGGTCAGGTGGGCCACTCGAAGCATGGTACCTGACTCATTCACATACAGGATGCCCACCAACTTCCTGAAGAAGTAGCTCATCCAATACAGCATGGCCAGGGCAAAGCAGGCAATCCCACTGGCCAGGCAGAGTGAATCGAGGGTCATGAGGCCCTGTGAGTACGAGTAGAAGCCCGGGGGCAGGGCTATCACAGTCACGGCTGTCTGTGCCAACTTCAGCCGAGACACATACCCAAGTGTTCTGATGGCATTGAATCGGTAGATTGTGTGGAATCTTTCAGTCTCTGTGCCTGGTAGCTTCTCCTGTGAGGTGGGGGACGTGCTCCCCACCCACCTTCTGGAATCTCCCTGCCCAGTGCAGCACCACAGTCGATGAAGAGGTCTCCCCCACACAGCTGGCCCCTGAAACCTTGGCACGGCTCGAAGGAGGACAGCCTGGAAAAGAGAGGTTTCTCTCAGAATTCAACCATGATTAGCACACAATGAACGAAACAAAGCCCCTAGAAAGGCTCCAGGCAAGCCTGGAAAGCCGCCAGGGCTGCCAAAGGAATGATAACGCTAAATGCTTTACTTTCTGTGGAATTCTACTCTGGATAAGTACCATACTCTTCTTTTTGCAAGTAAGCAAACCCTTATCCCAACCAGTGAGATATCCCATCAAGTAAAAGTGCTTGCCACCAAGCCAGGCGACTTGAATTTGATCCCTGTAGCCAACATGGTGAAGGAAGGAAAATTACTCATGCAAGGATGTCCTTGACCCCCACAGGCCATGGCTCAAGCATATGCATACGAACTGAACACACACAGGATTATTATTATTAGCATTATTATTATAATTATTATATTTTTGGTTTTTTTCAAGACAGGGTTTCTCTGTAGCTTTGGAGCCTATCCTGGAACTCCCTCTGTAGTCCAGGCCGGCCTCAAACTCACAGAGATGCCACCACCGCCCGGCTTTATTATTATTATGGTTTTTCGAGACCAGGTTTCTCTGTAGCTTTGGAGCCTGTCCTGGAACTCACTCGCTAGACCAGGTTGGCCTCGAACGCGGAAATCAGCCTAAACATGGGCACCACCATTGCCCGGCAGATTTTTCTTTAAGTTAAAAAACTAAGCTCTCCACACACACACACACACACACACACACACACACACACACACGAAGGAAGGAAGGAAGGAAGGAAGGAAGGAAGGAAGGAAGGAAGGAAAAGGCAAAACAGACAACTCAACAGAATGAATGGGGCCGAGTCTGGTTCTCAGGCCAGTCCTTCCCTTAGGCAGGTCCAAAGAAACACTGGAAAGGTTTAGTTCCAGACACTGAACAGAGACCTTCTGAGAGCCAACATAAAACTTGAACTTGGGTCCACAAGTCTGTGAGGCACTTCCTCAAGGAGTAAACTAATCGGTGTCATAGTGGGAAACCCAAGCACCAAAACTGTGGGGTACTTGTCACAGTAACTGCAGTTCTCCGACTGCCTTATACGTCAGGAGAACTGCTATTAGCCTGGTTGGGAAAGCAGAGAAGTGAGACACGCGGGGGACCCCAACGCGCTGCACAATGGTTCTCTGGAGTGAGTAGCATAGTGAGCAACTTCTGGGCTTTAGAGTCAGAGGAAGGCTCTGATCCTGGCTCTCACAGACACTAGCTGTGCATCCTTCTTCACAGCCTCAGCATTCGCTGAGGGAGACACGGGTCTTAGGCCCTGAACTTGAAGTGCGCTCAGGGAGTTACAGCGACTCCGACCGCCCACGTGACCCAAGGGACCCGGAGGAGGCCGGCCTTCCACCGGCGGAGGTCCCGGGTCGGCGGCCCAGGCATCCTTGCTGCCAGTCCGAGGCCCGACCAGGGTCCCCTGAACGTGTACCCTCTTTCGCCGCCCACTACCTGCCCGTCCTACCATGATCCCGTCTCCCGCTATGAGAAATAAACGGACTTGTCCCGGAAACTTGAAGAGCGCGTGCGCGTGTGGTTAAAAAGACGCCTGCGCTAACTAAAAAAAAAAAAAAATGAGTCTGTGTTACATCTTGGGGATTGTAGTTCAAATCCTGTATCAGCTGTGAGTGTTCTATGAGTCATTTAGGGAATTCTCCTCTTCCCATCGTGCCTTGGGCTACGGGCCTCGGCGTGAACCCGGAAGTTCCGGGAGCAGTTCCGGGTGCCAGCGAGTCTTCTGACTGGAGCTATGGCTGCTCTCTGCCTCTTCGACGTGGATGGGACCCTGACTGCCCCGCGGCAGGTAGGCGGCGCCCGGGAGGCTCGCGGCCGTGGAGCGGAGCCTGTGCAGCGCCCAGACCGCGGTGACGACCGTCCGGGGACCCGGAGACGCGGGTCCTGAGCGGGGTGCGGAGGAAGAGGGGACCCAAAAAGCTCTTCCAGCAGGAAACGTTCAGAGTCAGAAAGTTTGGGTCTGAATTTCTTTGGGGGCCTGGGGACTGGTGACCAGCTTAGGCCCTCGACCTGCTGTGTCACCTTTGGCTGTGTTGTCTAGTGTATCAAAGACAGGCTTTCAGCTCTCTGATCTTGAGCAGATCACTTTCTCGGAGCCCCTGAAGCCACTTTAAACGGGTGTATTGCCTGTTGCATGGGGTGTTGGTGAGGATAACAGAAATTCGTGACAGTGCCGAGCCTCAAAGGTGATCCGCTCCCAGCAGCCCCTGCAATGATGGGGTCCCAGGCTTTCTGCTAGAGAGCATACAAGGTCCAGGGGAACTTCCTTCCTGCTCACAGATCTGGTTGTTGTGATCAACTTCCTTTGCACAACTTGGTGATTGAGCAGGAGTAATTCAGACTTGAAGCTGGGCACAGATAACTTAAATGTCGCCAGGTCTACTCCACCTCTTTCAGATTTCATAGGGTGTGCTCCAGAAGCCTTGTTAAGTGTGTGTAACCTTAGATATATTGGCAATTACGTGTGTACAGTGTATCTTGGTCAAATTCACCCCCAACTTCTCTGTGTTCCCTATTGAGGACGCCTGCCCCAAATCTCTCTTCCATTTCCATGGGGTTTTTTTTTTATTATTATTTTAATAGCTCACGAAGTTCACTTAGTGCTACGCACATACACACTCATGTGTGTAGTTATCTATGTAGGCTCAGGCAAGATCCCCTGCAGCCACCATCCGTGCTTGAAAGTTAGCTGACTTGATCTTGTGCAGGTAACCGCAGAAGCTGGGAATTCGTGAGGACAATGGCCATATAATTCCAGGAGACAGCGATTCTCAAGACGCCTCATCCTCTGGGTCAACTCCCTGAGCCTTGGCAGGGTTGATAAAATGTCCCATTTAGGGCACTTATTCTTACCACTTTGACCAGATATAAGTCTGCTTTAATGCCCACTACAAAAAGAAACTTTTCTTACCAAGGTCGAGAGCAGCATTAATCTATGGGTGTAAACATAAATATTTAAAAGGCAGTTTAACAAGATGTCCATTTAGCAAAACAACAGTAGTAGGTCCTCCCATAGGGCTTATGAGCTCCTAAGTCATAGGCTTTTAAATAAGTTTACTGTCACAGGCATTAATTCTCTCCTGTGGAGCAGGTCTCACACCCAGTCAGAAAGTGATCTGGTTACCTGTGTAACGATAATGCCACCATTGCACCAGTGAGCATGCATTGCTTAGTGTGCCAGTGCTGTAGCATGACTGGGAAATACCATTCATGACTTTTCTCCCCGCGGTGGTTTGCATAGCACCTTCCAGCACTGCCAAAGCCATCTGTGTCAGTTCCAGCCTGATTTCTCTGTGTCTTGCAATCAAAGCGTGCTGTGCCTTCAGCAATATGGGACTTAACATCTAGTTAGGGTAGGCAACCAAGAGCAATGGCAAAAGCCTGTATTGTTTTGGGGGTCTCAGATCTCTCCCGCCAAAACCTCCACCTGGCACTGGGATTTTTGTTTAATAACTCTTGTCTTCTGGAAATGGTATTGTACATACACATATGCTTTGCAAAGTAATAGATTTTCATAAAGTTTTTTTAACTATATCCTTAATTTTAGATAAACCACCGTCCAACCCCTTTCTGAGCCACAATTTGATTTATCTAGGGATGACATTCAACCACAAGTTCTCCAGAGCCCTTTCTAACTTAGCTTCATTGCTCAATACACATTTATCAGTTAAGTCAATAGGAAGGTGGACAGGTGGCATAGGGTTTTAATCTCTGCAAGAGAATTTGATGGTTCAGAGCCAGCCTGGGCTAAATAATGAGTTTGATTATTATGGGGAACTTGTCTCAAAACAACAAAAGCCAATATTAGTCTGGAATGGGAAGCAGAAGTCATATTTTGTAAAGGGCTATATATTAAGTACTTTTGTCTCTGTAAAACATATGGCCTAAAGCAACTACTCAACTTTAGTGCAAAAGCAGCCACAGACCATATGGAAACGTTAGCTATGTTCTAATAAATTTATTCCAGAGGCCACTGAGATGGCTCAGTAGGTAGAGTCATTTACCCCTAAACCTTGGGACTTGACTGAATTCAATTCCTGGAACCCACGTGGTGGAAGGAGAGAACCAACACCCACAAGTTGTCTTCTAACCTCCTCTTGTACATTGTGGCACATGTACATGCATGTACATACATAATAAAAATAAAATTATAGAGACAAACTGTTGTTCAGTCTGGTCCAGGAGTCTCCATTCCTAAGCCTTTGTACAGTGTTGAACTTGCGGTCTTCCACCACCTTTCCTCCTGGGCAGGACAGTTATTACTGCCACCCCGTCCCCCAAAACAGGGTTTCTCTGTGTAGCCATGCCTGTCCTGGAACTTGCTCTGAAGACCAGGCTGGCCTTGACCCAGAGATCCACCTGCCTCTGCCTCCAAGTATTGGGATTAAAGGTGCGCACCACCACCTCACTAGCTACTACCATTCAAACGTAAGGAAACTGAAACCAGTGACGTCCTGACTGCCTCAGCTTCACATAGCAGCTGTGATGGTGAAAGTCCCTGGGCCTCGGGCACTGTTAGCTGTCCAGTTTGTCATTTCCTTTCACTGTGCTAGGGTGGAGCCTCCCCAGGTACTAGATATTAAGAAAGTGCTGCTGTTTCCCAGGTAAATGGGGCTAGATAAGCATGAAGTATAAAATAGCAGAGAAGCCAGGTGATTCAGAATATATTCCCTTTCAGGCATTTGGAACAATATGCTTGCAATGATCATAAGCAATTGTAGCAATAAAAGAAAACTAATTTGAAAGAGAATTTTCCTATATGCTGGGTACTGTGATTAAAATATTTTAGCGGCAGATCTGTTTATCATTGGCCTTTCCTGTGTCCATCCTTGTGTATTCTTAGACAACACTAATCACAGTGCAGTCTGGAAGAGGAAGAACAAGTTACCTTTTATTGCAGTTCTTGTGACATGATATGACCTGCATGGGTTCAATTTAGTTAGCATGGACTCGAGACATCTGCACATTTCCCGGTTTGTGTAGAAGATGATCTTCCTGGGTGTTTTCTTCCACGTGTCATTCCATCCCTAAACAGTAGGACTTGAGAAAAGCTTTCAAAAAAAGAAAAAAGGACATAGGCCTCCATCATTTTCCATTTCTGGCATCCTGAAAACTCACACAGAGATCATTGACAGAAATCGTGAACAGAGAGCCCATAGCCCTGTCACTTAGGTTAAAAGTAGCTGACATCTCATCATAATAATTCTGCATTTCCTCTTGCTTAGTAACTTTCTAGACCACGATCATCATGTTACCTCACCTCTTTGTAGTTTGTTTTTGTTTCTGTTAAAAGAAGTCTTAGGAAATCCAGCTTTGTAGCCAAAGCTGACCTTGAACTCCTGATCCTCCTGCCTCCATTTCCCAAGTGTTGGTATCACAGGCTTGTGACACTATACCCACTTCTGACGTGTTAAATCATATGATGTAATATAAAACACCTTTGAACAACAGAAGATTGGACTGAAGGGATGGTGCCATGATTAAGAGTACTGACCACTCTTCCAAAGGGCCCAGCGTCCACATAGTGACTCACCACCATCTGCAGCTCTGGTGCTAGGTGGTCTCTGCCCTCCTCGGGCACTATATGCATGCAGTACACAGACACATTTGAACAAAACAGACAAAAAGGAATAAGCTAGATCTATGTCTTATTAAAAGGTCACCACAACATAAAATGGAAAAAGCAAGTTATTGCCAACCATATATATGTGAATAAACAAGTGGGAATAGATATAACTAAATATTAAGTTTTTCTGCAGACCTAGGAGCAGCACTGGGCTTGTGTAAAAATCAGAGCTAAATTAGTTTGCAGTTCATCTGATTATTATCACTCAGAATCATCCTGTTTTCCTTCCTGTCATGTAGAAAATTACAAAAGAAATGGATGGCTTTCTACAAAAATTGAGGCAGAAGACCAAAATTGGAGTGGTAGGTGGGTCAGATTTTGAGAAAGTGCAAGAGCAACTGGGAAGTGATGGTAAGTGCTAATTCCACTCTGGTGATGCTGAGACCTGCCGCCCGGTGTCCCCGCAGTCCCTCGCCACCACCACTCATGTCGCACACTTTCTGCCTTCTCCGGGGAAACATTTTCTCTACCATTATTTGGCCTTTGCTTTAACCCTATAAAAGTCAGTAAGTTGTGTGATCTTTATAGAACCCTTGACTCGGGTTTCCAGTTAGACTCACCCTGAAGTCTCACTTGTGGAACCTCTTCTCCCTCTAGTGTTTACATGTCCTCACTGCTCTCACTTCACACCAGGCCCCACCTCCTGACTCTGCTGGCCACTCAAATTTGTATAAACCTCTGGTCTCAGTACCTTGTCCTGTAGCCCTGATGGAGTGTGTTCCAGGGTTCCCTCATCATGAGAGTCACTAGGCTCCCCACATCACCAGGGTCTCCAGCACAGGACTAGGAAGTTAGAGAGCCTTTGTGATAGGGTCTCACTCTGTAGCCCAGACTGGACTCAGACTCACCTTGTCCTCCTGTCTCCACCTCCTGAGTGCTGGAGTGACAGGCATCAATCACCACACCCAGCTGGAGAGTCTCCTGGCTTCTTTCCTGGTGATGGTGGAACAGCAGGTCTCTAACACCTGGACATATATTTTAGCGAGTATCCCACCAAAATTCTGGTGCCCAGCCCTGCTGATGAGCACTCTGATATAAGCTCAAGTCTTTGTTGTCTTCCAGACAATGTCTTACTTGTCTCTGGTTTTCCCAGGGCTTCTGGGGTAGCCGGCCTCTGAGAAGCAGTGAGCAGAGAGATCCATGAATGAATAGTTCTCTCTCCACTGTAGTATGTTATGCTCTCCTGTGAATCAAGCACTTGGGAGGCTGAGACAGGGGAGTCATGAGTTTGCAGTCAGGCGGGGCTGGAGAGATGGCTTAGCAGCAGTTAAGAGCACTTGCTACTTTTATGGAGGACTCAGGTTCAGTTCCCAGGCCCAATGGCAGGTCACAACTGTCTGTAATTCCAGTCCCATGAGGTACACATATGTCCATGCAGGCAAAATACTAATATATATCAAATAATTTTTTGTTTGTTTGTTTATTGAGATAGGGTTTTTCTGTATAGTCCTGGCTGTCCTTTAACTCACTCTGCAGATCAGGCTGGCCTCAAACTCACAGAGATTTGCCTTCTTCCTCTTCCTAAGTGCTGGAATTCCCGTTGCCCAGCTTGCTTGCTTATTCCCTCCCTCCCTCCCTCTCTCTGTCTCTCTCTCTCTCTCTTTCTTTCTTTCAAACCAACATGAGTTTAAAATAGACAAAAGCACACTGTTGTCCTAGGGTTATGTTAGTACTAAGGACATATTGGGCAGTATAGTTCCTTGTTTTATGCCTAGTACCATCTCTGACCACTAGTAGGCAGTAGAGTGCATGCACACAGGCACCCACACACAGTTTTGATAACCCAGGCTGTCTGCATTGTCCATTGTGTCCTGGACATCACGTTCCCATGGTTGGAAATTCGGCATGTCTATCTGAAAGTACAAATCTGTGGGTCATATCAGATACTGGAAGAGTCAGTTTTGCAGTCTGTAGGACATGTTTACTTCATCTTCCTTGGAGGTATTCTCTTTAGAAATGCTATCAGTAACTTAACAAGTCATATGTAGCCCAGAAGAATCCCATCACAGGGGTTGATCACCATCCCTACCTCCAGAATGTACTTACAGCGTACTCTGAGAGGTTTTGTATCACAGTACCAGAGCTAGGTGTTTGAGAGAAGTATGTAATAAGCGAGAGTCAAAGCACTTACACTAGAAGGCAGCTGAGAGCTCACCTTGCGTCAGCAGTAGCAGGTGTAGTGGACATACCCGAGTCTTTGCACTCAGGAGACTTGCTGTGAGCTTGAAGTCATGCTGGAGTATATAATATGAGTTCAAGGCCAGCCTGGGCTACATGAGGTCCTGTCTCAAAAACAAACAGGTGGGCAGAGTAACACATGCCTTTAGTTCCAGCACTTGGGAAGCAGAGGCAGACAGACCTTTTGTGGGTTATATGTTAGTCTTCAAATCTAAATCAGTATAAGAATCATCTTTTTAAAATAGCTTTTTAAATTTTTTATTTTTATAAAAACATTATTTTGAGGTTGGGGAAATTGCTCAGTGGGTAAAGGTACTTGTTAACTCAGGGTCAGTATTGAACCCACATAGAAGGTGAGAAGCAACCCCACAAGTTGTTTTCTGACCTACACACACACACACCATGGTATGTGCATTCCCAAATGCATACATACACACAAAATAATATTTTTTTTTTAAATTGAGCCTGTCAAACCTGATCTGGAAAGCCTGAGAGCTGAGGGTGGCCGTCCTCTTCGTTCCTTGTTTCCTGCTGGTTGGGAGGCGGCAGGGACCAGCATCTTACTTTGCACACTGACAGGCTGGAGGCAGGGTCTGTCATCCCTCAGACTTAAGCTGCTGTCGAAATTCAACCTCTTGATGAGAAGGTTGGCTCAGCCTGCAGGTGCTTAGCGGGGCCTTGCGGGTGGGTGTTGAGGAAGAAAGAGAAAGACAAGTTTCTTTCTATTCAATGCATCCTCAGTTTTTATCTTGTTTTGGTTGTAGTGGTTGAGAAATACGATTATGTGTTTCCAGAGAATGGCCTGGTAGCATACAAAGATGGGAAGCTTTTGTGTAAACAGGTAAGTTTTTAAGTATACAGCCTGTTCTGTATTACTACTAACATGTCATGTAAATCAACACGGCTGGGGCAGGAAGGTCAAAAGTTCAGGGGCTGCCTGAGCTACAAAGTGAGTTCAAGATCAACCTGGGCAGCTTCATGAGACAGTGTCTCAAATTTTATAAAAACAATAAAGAAAAGAGGGACATAGAACAACACATTACATGTGATAATGATTGAATGCCTCCGGGCACATGCTGGAACTCAGTGGGAGGGAGTGAATCTTCACACTGTATTCTTTGTTAAGTTTGAATTTTGCCCCACACAGCTGTTGCTTGTTCCAGATAGTGACTACATCTTTATAATGGCCTTAAAGCTGCTTTAGTCCTGTGTTTCTACTACAATAGCCAGGGCTGTGGGAGAGGAGCTGTACTTAATACTAAGAGCAATTGCAGGAAGCTCTCTGGCCCACCCGGAAAGTGTGAAAGAGAATGAACACGAATCCTAGAGTAATGAAGCAAAAGGTGCTTCTGACGGAGGGGTCTGTGCTTTGCCTGTTGTTTTCCACCCCAGAAATGAGAAAGAGGTGAAAGGACAGCGGGATATGTCACCGTCCCGGCTCAGTCAGCCTGTGGCTTCTGGTGGTATCGTCAGAAGATCTGGGTTTGCCATGAAGCCGTTTTGAAAGTACTTCCTATTATATCAAATAACTCATGCTTTGTTTACCTAGAGTATTCAAGGTCATCTGGGGGAGGCAGTGATCCAAGACCTGATCAACTACTGTCTGAGCTACATTGCAAAAATTAAACTCCCTAAGAAAAGGTGGGTTCACTCTTAACAAAGGAAGCTCTTCTAAGATGAAGTAGTGGACTCTTTATTTTTCAAGACAGGTTTCTCTGTAGCTTTGGAACCTGTCCTGGAACTTGCTCTTGTAGACCAGGCTGACCTGGAACTCATGAGATCCACCTGCCTCTGCTTTCTGAGTGCTGGGATTAAAGGCATGTGCCACCATTGCCCAGCCGTGCCATGGACTCTTTAGGTGGATTCATGCTCACGACCAGAACCCAGCACTTAGTACTTGGAAATAGTTTATATAGCCAACCACATGAAGATGGTTGTAAAAAAGGTGCCCACCCATCCTATGTGATGGAATGTTGTACAGACCAGACACTGAAACCTGTACCGACTCTGGCTGTCATGAGAGAATCCTGTGAAATAACATGTAAAGAGCACAGAGCCTGATATGGTGGCATCTGCCTGTAATCTCAGTGCTAGAGAGGCTGAGGCAGTAGGATCACAAGTGCGGGGCCATCTTGGAAGTTATAGACTATTAATAGGGGGGGCAGGTATAGTGGTGTACTCCTTTAATCCCAGCACTCGAGGGCAGAGGCAGTGGATCTCTGAGTTGGAGGCCAGCCCGGTCTACAGAGCAAGTTTCAGGACAGCCAGGGCTACACAGAGAGACCCTGTTTTGAACAAAATGGGATGAGTCAGAGCTGTCGGCCAGTATGTTGGAAGCTGAGGCAGGAGAATTGCTGTGCGTTTTAGGCTCCATAGTGAGTTTCTTGTCTACTTGGGCTACAGAGTAAGACCTTATCTCAAAAAAGGGTCTTGGGAGCTAGAGAGATGGCTCAGGGGTTAAAAACACTGACTGCTCTTCCGGAAGACCCGGGTTCAATTCCCAGCACCCACATAACAGCTCACAACTGTCTGTAACTCCAGTTCCAGGTAATCTAACACCTTCACACCAATGAACATAAAATAAAGTTAAATGAATTTTAAAAAGGAAAAAAAGAGCACTGGCTGCTCTTCCAGAGGTCCTGAGTTCAATTCTCAGCAACCACGTGGGGGCTCACAACCATCTGTAATGAGATCTGGTGCCCTCTTCTGGTGTTCAAGCATACATGCAGGCAGAACACTATACATAATAAATAAATCTTTATAAAAAGCAAAAGGGTCTTGGGACTTTGCTATTGTTAAAGTACCTGTCACAGCAGCATGAGGGCCAATGTTCAGATCCCCAGTACCCACATAAAAACTGAGTGTGGTCATGTCGTCTGAAACTCTCGCCATGAGGGGTGGAGACAAAGTCTCCTGGAAGTCTGGTCAGGCAGTGAGGTCTGGCTCCGAGGAAAGACTGTCTTAGAAGATAAGCTGGGGAGCAGTGGTGACAACAGTGTCACACACTAGTGTGCACACACACATTATATACACGTGCATATACCACACACACACAAAGGCATCAGAAACCTACAACCTGAAAGTCTAAGGAGGCCTTCAGGGTGGCCTGCATAGCTTAAAGAAAATCCCATTATGGGATTAGAGGTTCTGGACTCACTGAGGAAGAGCGCTCGCTGTGCAGATATGAAGACCTCACAGAAGTCAGCCGTGGTCACCTGTGCACTGTGGAGGACAGACAGGACCATTGGGACTCGCTGGCCCACAGTCTGGCCGGGCTCAGGAAGAGACTGTTCTCAGGGGACTAAAGCAGAGTGACAGAGCAGGACACCCATGCCCTGGACCCACATGGCACAGAGAAAAGACCTGAGTCACACACGTGCCTGTCTGACCTGCCCCTCACAAAATAAATTTGTAAAAATGCTAGCCTTTAAACCCGGCATTCTGGAGGCAGAGCCACGCATTTCTGTGAGTTCAAGGCCAGCCTGGTCTACAAAGCAAGTTCCGGGACATCCAGGGCACTGTTACACAAAGAAATGCTGTCTCTAAAAACAAAAAATTAAATATGTATTCTGAGTCTAAAACTAAAAACATGATTTTAAAAAGTTTCTAGCTATCTTCCCTGGAATAACTAAACCGTTGGCATGTTTCATTTTCTGTGGTCACATCAAGCCTGAATAAGCAGTCTGCCTCTGAATAGTTTCCTTAGTGATTAGTGAGGCTCTGTGAACCATAATCTCAGAACCTGTCTGGGTCCTCCCTTAATGACATCTATCTCCTCAAGAGCTCACTAACAAAAGAGATGCCTCAGAAACAGATGTGAGACTGCTGAAGGAGCAAGTACCCTTATGCTGGGGTCCTTTCCAGCCTTTATTTAGCACAAGGAGACGTCCTGATCAGTTGCAGTAGAAACCGTGGGCCACAGGGTAATTGTTTTAATAGCACACCCTGCTTAACCCTGTATATTCAAAACATCACTTTATTAAATAGTCAGTGTGAAATATTGTGACTAGTGAGACATGGTGCCTCAAGCCTGTAATCCCATGTATCGTCTGCAACATGGCGTGTTCAGGGACAGCTGGGGCTACGTAAGACCCTGTCTCAAAGACTGGCATGTGGACTATTTCTCCCTTGAGGTCCTTCCCCCTCTTGGGAGTTCTTGATTTTGTTTCCTTACTACATCTCCATTTGCTTTGCTCAAAAAAGAAATAAGGCTGGGAAAGTAGGTCGGCCAGTAGAAAACTTTGTGCTCAAGCCTGAGTACCCGAGTTTACCCCCTAGCCCCCCGGTGGGGCTTGCTGAGCAGGCACTGTAGCTGAATTGGGGAGCTCCAGACTCAGTGAGAGCAGTCAGTGAAGACACCGCTGGAGACCTCTGGCTTCCGCTTGTGCTTTCACACACGTTCACATGCGCACACCATAAAGATGATTCCATTCCTTTTCCATGCTAAATCCATCTCAATCTGAGTTAGCCACATTTTGAGTCTGTCATACTTTGTAACTTCCAAGGTGTACAATCCATGAGAAACCTGGGTCACATACTCCTGCTTCTAGAATGTAATGTTGCCTGAGTAAATAAGGTATTTTGTATTTTGATGCTGTTCCTGCCCAGGGGAACTTTCATTGAATTCCGAAATGGCATGTTGAACGTGTCCCCTATTGGGAGAAGCTGCAGCCAAGAAGAACGAATTGAGTTCTACGAACTTGATAAAGTAAGTTCTCGGACACACTTGGACAACGGCCAGGTCTGAGAAGAAAAGCCCAACCGTGTAGCCTGTGGGCAGTATTTAAAATGCTTCTACACTGTGATGTAATGGACAATTGGTGTCTTTTTGTATCTCTCAGAAAGAAAATATACGACAGAAATTCGTCGAGGACCTGAGGAAGGAATTTGCAGGGAAAGGCCTCACATTCTCCATAGGTACGGTGCATCCCCAGGCTTTGGTCCCTGTGTGCTAGAGCGTGTGGTGGGCTGTCGCAGTGCCTAGCGCTGTGCTGGGTGGGGAGGTTGCTGCTGGGGAAACTGAGGTTCCCTTATAGGACTCTTAGTCTCAAAAAAAAAACTTAGAAACAGACTCAGAAGGAACGATGAGGGTAATTTTATTAGTTTAAGAGAAAAACAGAGTAGGGTAGGTGGAAATCCCAGGAGCCGCCAGGAGGAGAGATGGAGGGAGAGTCACTGTAGTAGAGGTAGACAGGCTGCTAAGAAAAGGCAAAGCACCCCCCAGGAGTGGAAGTGGCTGGTGAGCTGAGGAGCCCCAAAAGCATCCAGCCAGTGGTAAATGATGATCTTTTATAGCCCCCTCCCTCTTTTGTATTAGGTAGGCTTTATTTTGATTGTGCCCTGTTCACAAGGTGATGCGGGGTTAGGAAGAGCTTCCAGTCTTCCTCTGCAAACTGCAAACTTTTACTTATTATTCTCTCTCAAGATTTTATTTATGTTTGAATGTTTTGCCTGCATGTATGTGTGAGTACCATGTACACGTCCACTGTCCAAGGAGGCCGAAAGAAGATGTGGATGCCCTAGAACTGGAGCTACAGACAGGGTTTCTCTATATAGCCCTGGCTGTCCTGTATTCACTCTGTAGATCAGACTGGCCTCAGACTCACACAGAGATCCACCTGCTTCAGCCTCCCCAGTGCTGGGATTAAAGGCGTGAGGCCACCACATGTTAATCCTGGTGTAGATTTTTTACTTTGTACTCTGGTACCACAGTTACACAGGCAGAATGTAGACTGTAGACAAGCAGCCGCAGCAGGATACCCACAAGCCAGGAAGTGGCTCCATGCTGTTGGGTCTGGTTCTACCTCTGCACCCAGCAGTACTTTTCTGCCTGCTCTTCTCTCTCACACAGAAGAGCTGTATCTTGCTGTGTGGACAGTAAAAGTTTCACACCTCTGTATGGAAGAGAAGTCTTGCTGAACTCCAGGAGAGCTGGACAGTGAGCCTCTCAGATGAAGGAGACTAAGATGTCTTGAAATCCTGACTATTAAGGAACCACAGAAATTAGTGGGTGGCTTTTCCAGAGCAAGAATCAGGCTCACAAAGCCTGTGCTGACCACCATTGAGCCTGTGGTGTCACTGGTACGGAGACCTGACCTGACTTCTGTCATCACTTGGTAGCAGATACCTGTTAAGTTTTATTGTTATATTTTCAGTTTGTTGGGGGTGGGGCACATGTGTGCAGGTCTCAGGGCAGCTGTGGAGAGTTGGTTCTCTCCTACCACGTGGACCCCAGGGGACTGAGTTCAGGTCTTGACAGCAGTCACCTTTACCCACTGAGCTGTCTGTCTAGTGTATCTTTACCTGTTAAATGCTTCAAACGTGTCCACTTCTCCTGGCCACACTATCAGTCTGGACCTAAAGCTCTCTAGCTTTGCCAGTTTCAGCACATGGCCTTGCAAAGGAACCACATGTCAGACACGTCAGGAAGATTTTTTTAATAATTCCTGAACTGTTAAGTGAATGCCTTTCTAATAACTTTGAAAATGTTTTGCAGTTTGTTTGTCCCCCCCTTTGGTGGGTTAGTTTTTTGCTGCTTGAAAAGTGGCGGCTAGAGGACTAGCTCCGCAGCTGAGTAGTGGCCGCTCTTCCAGAGGACATGTGCTCAGTTTGCAGCATCAGTATGACAGCTCAGTCATCTGTAACTCCAGTTCCAGGGTTTCCTCAGGCATCAGGCATCCATGGTGTACCCAGACATACGTGCAGGTAAAACACCCATACACATGGATGGATGGGTAGACAGATGGATGATTTTATGGGGTACCTACCCATAAGTTATCTTTCATATAGTGAGCCTATTGCCTCCAGGATGAGCTCATACAGCCTGCTTTTAGATTTCCCACTGATGATTTGGCTTAGCTAGGTTTTTCCTCTGTAGTCCAGACTTGCCTGGAATTCACATAAAGCCTAGACTGACCTTGAACTCACCATAAGCCTCCTGTCTCAGGGTCCTGAATGTGGGGATGACATGTATGCACTTGCATGCCTGACTCAGGGTATATTAAAACGCCAGATAGTTCCATTGCATAAGGGAAGCCCTTATTAGGTTTTTACTTAAGCCTACCTTATTTAAACTTGTAAGTCTCTTCCCTGAAGAAGCACTAAGAGAGATGATCGCTTAGACCCAGATGAAATAATTCTGGGAAAAACAGCAAAGAACCTGTCCATAAGTAGCATTAAGTGGTGAACAAGTATATCAAAATATAAGTAGATAGACAGATAGATAAGCAAGCAAGCTGCATTATCTTCCAAAAGGTGTTACCCGCTCTCCTCTCACCTAGGCTGTGCTGGGGTTGTACTCAGCCCTCTAACTGTTGAGCCCCATTCCCAGCCCTCCTTAGCCCTCCCTAGCCTCACCTTCTTGGTGTGTCCGCTTCCTATCCTGCAGGGGGCCAAATCAGCTTTGACGTCTTTCCTGATGGGTGGGACAAGCGGTATTGCCTGAGACACCTAGAACATGATGGTTACAAGACCATTTATTTCTTTGGAGACAAGACTATGCCGGTAAGTAGGAAAGTCTCCTGTGCAGTTTGGACTCGGAGAGGGAAAGCTCCAATAGGCTGTTTTGCCATCTCACACTCTACCTGCTGAACCTTCTAGCCTCCCTTCCCTTAGAGCTCTGAGGCCCTGACCCTGGGGAAGCAAAGACTATAGGTCATTTTCAGTCTGCCTCTTGAATTAAGTACTTCCCACTTAAGGCTGCTCTCAGATCACCTGTTGTCGAACCTCTGCATTTCAGTGCTAACACCCCAGAGGCAGGCAGATCTCTGGGAGTTCAAGACCAGCCACAAGACCTGTATAGAAAAAAACAAAACAAAACAAGTGAACAATGCCTTCACCATTGTGGCTTTATTACCCTTCTTTAAGTCTGCTACCATGTTCACTGTAGATTGCATAATAGGGTCTTCTCATAAACATAAGATGTGGAAGTACCTGAGTCTGATCCTCAGGGTTGGTCAGGGATCATTGGAGGAAGGACCTGCCTAGGGTATCACACAGGAGAGCCAGTGCCAGCGAGGGGCACAATGAAGCCATTTCCTCAGAGACATTTAGCATAATTGTGAGGCTCTCCTTGAATGAGTGTCTGCTACCACCATCCAAGGCCTAAGAGGAGCCTCAGTACCAGCTACTCACTGCCTATGATTGGGCTTGGGCCTCTTACTATGCCCTTCCGCCTCCCACCCTGCACTGCCCATGGCTTCTGCTGTAAAGATTCTGGCTCGAGCATGGTGGCCATTCTGAAGCCAGTAAGGTATTGTAAATGCTGTAGCTATGGAGCGCTGGTCCCTTTGGCGGCTGCTCTGTCAAGACCGGCCCTGTCAGAGGTCTACCTCCAGCAGGGTCCCTGGTGACAGTGAATTATTTCACTTAGTGTAACATCCTCCAGATCCGTCCTTACAAACAGCAATAAGAATTTCATTTGCTGCCAGGCAGTGGTGGCGCACACCTCTAGTCCCAGCACAGGGGAGACAGAGGCAAGCTGATCTCTGTGAGTTCCAGGACAGCTAACCAAGACTATTACACAGAAAAATCCTGTCTCAAAAAACAACAAACAAAAAGAAGCATTTTCTTTGTTAAGAATGGATAATCCTGCACTGTATGAGTATGCTGTTTATCCTTCCATTGTCAGACTGTGAATTCTATTTCAGCAAGTACCACGGGGACTGTGGCTTTACTGTGTTTGGTTGTTTATCTGTGAGCCTGACAATGCAGATCTCCTAGAAAAAGAAAAAAAGACAGGAAGCAGCCTCTGGATACTTGTCTTGGGCTAACCCGAAAGTACTGGCACAGGAAGCCATGTAAACAAGCAGGCCTGGACTAGACAAATACTGCCACTGCACAGCAAAGAAACCTCAATAGGAAATGGCAGCTTGTGGCTGGGGGTGGTGGCACATACTTTCAATCTTAGCACTTGGGAGGCAGAGGCAGGTGGATCTGTTTGCCCAAGGCAAAGCTGGTCTACACAGTGAGTTCCAGGCCAGCCTGAGATATAGAGAGACTCTTGTCTCAAAAAACAAAACCCAAAAAAGGCAGCCTGTGAAGTGTGAGAAAACACTCACAAATCATGTCTGTCCATCCAAAATACATCAGAGACTCCTGCAATTCAGCAGCAAAGTAAGAACCTGATTTAAGGGGCAGAAGACATGACTCAGTGGAAGGAACACTGGCTGCTCTTCCAAAGACCCAGATTCAAAACCCAGCACCACATGGTGGCTCGCAATCCATATAGAACTCCAGTTATATGAGAATCTAACTCTGTCTGTTCTGTCTGGCCTCTGTGGGTACCAGGCACACTCTGGTACACAGATATACTTGCAGGCAAAACACCCATACATAGAAAATAATTTTTAAAAAAAACTGATTTAACATATTTGAAGACTTATTGCACCAAGGAAGACACACAGTGGACTCCTGGACATGTGGGAGTTGATATCTGTAATCATAGATCATAAGAATCATAAGTTCTGGCCACAGTGAGAGTCACATTCCTCCACTAGACTGGACATTACTAACAGACACACAAAAGAAGGTAGAAGTCAGTGCCCCTTTACCTCAGAACAGTAGATGGTGCAGCCAATCTGAATAGTTGTTAAAAAAAAAAAAACCTAATATGATCCAGTAATCACACTGTTTAGTATAGATCCAAAAGAATTAAGAGCCAGTCCTGGGAAGAAGCCTGCTCTTGAGATTAGAGAGCATTCTAGTACCATGGACTGTCTCCAATGGGGGAATCTGATGCCACATCCTCAAAGGGAAGCAGTACAGAAGCTAGCCTTGAGTTTATATTTCCATATTTTTTTCTCTTGGTGGTAAAAGCTGGCTCCTAACTCATGGTAATCCTCCTGCCTCAGCTTCTAGTGCTGGGATTACAGGTGTGAACCACCATTTCTGGCTGTTTTGGTTTTTCAGGACAGGGTTTCTCTATGTAGTCCTGGCTGTCCTGGAACTCAGAGACCCTCCTGCCTCTGCCTCCCGAGTGCTGGGATTACAGGTGTGCGCCGCCATGCCCATTTGGGTTTGTTTTTAATTTGTTTTATTTTGGTTCCTTACCCTTCTTTTTTTTTATTGATATTTATTGAGCTCTACATTTTTCTCTGCTCCCCTCCCTGCCTCTCCCCTCCCCCTTCAGCCCTCCCCTAAGGTCCCCATGCTCCCAATTTACTCAGTAGATCTTGTCTTTTTCTACTTTCTACTTCCCATGTAGATTAGATCTATGTAAGTCTCTCTTAGTGTCTGCATTATTGTCTAGGTTCTCTGGGATTGTGGTTTGTAGGCTGGCTTTCTTTGCTTTATATTTAAAATCCACCTATGAGTGAGTACATGTGATAATTGTCTTTCTGTGTCTGGGTACCTCACTCAAAATAATATTTTCTAGCTCCATCCATTTTTCTGCAAAATTCAAGCTGTTGTTATTTTTTTCTGCTGTGTAGTACTCCATTGTGTAAATGTACCACATTTGCCTTATCCATTCTTTGATTGAAGGGCATTTAGGTTGTTTACAGGTTCTGGCTATGACAAACAAAGCTACTATGAACATAGATGAGCACATGTCCTTGTGGCATGATTGAGCATCCTTTAGATAAATACCCAAAAGTGGTATTACTGGGTCTTGAGGAAGGTTGTTTCCTAATTTTCTGAGAAATCTCACTCTGACTTCCAAAGGGGTTGTACCAGCTTACACTCCCACCAGCAATGCAGAAGTGTTCCCTTTTCCCCACAACCTCTCCAGCATAAATTGTCATCAATGTTTTTGATCTTGGCCATTCTTACAGGTGTTAGATGGAATCTCAGAGTTGTTTAGATTTGCATTTTTCTGATGACTAAGGATGTTGAACATTTCCTTAAGTGTCTTTCAGTCATTTTAGATTCCTCTGTTAAGAGTTCTCTGTTTAGGTCTGTACTCTATTTTATTTATTGGATATGTGATCTTTTGGTGTCCAATTTCTTGAGTTCTTTGTAAATTTTGGAGATAAGATCTCTGTCTGATGTGGGGTTAGTAAAGATCTTTTCCCATTCTATAGGCTGTCGTTTTGTCTTGTTGACCATGACCTTTGCTTTACAGAAGCTTTTCAGTTTCAGGAGGTTCCATTTATTAATTGTTTCTCTCAGTGTCTGTGCTGCTGGGGTTATATTTAGGAAGTGGTTCCCTGTGCCAATGCGTTCAAGTGTATTTCCCACTTTCTTTTCTATAAGGTTCAGTGTGGCTGGCTTTATGTTGAGGTCTTTGGTCCATTTGGACTTGAGTTTTGTGCATGGTGATAGATATGGGTCTATTTTCATTCTTCTACATGTTGATATCCAGTTATGCCAGCACCACTTGTTAAATATACCTTCCTTTTTCCATTTGATATGTTTTGCTTCTTTATCAAAGATCAGGTGTTCAAGATGTGTGGATTGATATCCGGGTCTTCTGTTCGGTTCCATTGATCCTCCTGTCTGTTCTTATGCCAATGTTTTCAGTACTGTAGCTTTGTAGTAGAGTTTGAAGTCAGGGATTTTGATGCCTCCAGAAGTTCTTTTTATTATATAGGATTGTTTTGGCTATCCTGGGTTTTTTGCTTTTCCAAATGAAGTTGAGTACCATTCTTTCGAGGTCTTTGAAGAATTTTGCTGGGATTTTGAAGGGTATTGTGTTGAATCTGTCCTTACCCTTCTTAATGATGGTTTATGATCAATTTTATGGAATACATAACACTTTGAATGTAGACCTTGAAAGAGTCACATCAGACTTGCTGTCTTTCTGTTGTTCTTGTTTTCCTTGAGACAGGGTTTCTCTGTTTAAAGTCCCAGCTGTCCTGGAACTAGCTCTTGTAGACAAGGCTGGCCTTGAACTTACAGATTCACTGCACCACAAGTGCTGGGATGAAAGGTGTGTGCCACCACCACCTGGCTTAAAGTCTTCTTAAAAATTAAGCTAATGAAATTATGCTGTGGATCTAAAGAATATCTGGAAGCTTCTTTTGTCTGACTTGGTGTCCACTCACCCCTTTTCAGTATTGTGAATTGAACCCAGGGCTAGGTAAGAACTCTACCACTAAGCTACTTACCTAGCCCGTTTATTCTTATTTTGAGGTCGGGATTATTTAAGTTGTCATTTTGGCCTTGAACTCACTTTAAAGTCCAAGTTGGTCTTTCAAACGACTAGTCATCCCGCCTTAACCTCCAAAGAAACTGGGTTATAGGCCTGTGTCATTGGGCCTAGGTAGGTGCCATTTGTTTTTGTTTGTTAATTTGCTTTTTATTTCATTGTCAAGCCGAGCTGGCCTCAGAGTCCCTATGTTGCCAAAGATGACCGTGAACTCCTGATCCTCCTGCTTCCAACTCCCAGTGCTTCAGCCTTGCACCAGCACGCCCAGTTTATGCACTGCTAGCAGTCACACTCAGGGTTCTGTGTGTGTCAGGCAAGCACTCTACTGAGCTGTATCTCTAGCATCCTGGCTCCCATTTCTTACAGAAGGGAACGATCTGTTAACACCCAGTACTATATGCTGTGGCAGGACAGC